AAAGCCACCCTTGAGGTCTCTTAATCTTCCTATTCTGCCTTTCTGGCTCACTAACCCTAATTTTTGGTTCATCAGGCTTGAAAATTATTTTCTGACTAAACGTATTCGCTTACAACGGGAAGAATTTGGCCATGCAGGCTTGCCGACTCTGGACAAGCTGTTGAATAGCAAACAATAAGCTCTAGCTGAACCATGTTAGGAATAGCCACACGATGAATTAAAGCAGGCTATAATGAAGTCTATCCCTTTAACCGACCTACATACCACTGACATCTTCCCATTCTCGTGCAACAGAAGAGTAAGTTTCCATTGCATTTAAAATACTACATGAAAAGTCTACCGAAGGACACAAACAGACAGTAACTGAATTTGCTATCTGTGGTTTTTCTGACTTCCTCTAAGTATACAATAGATTCTGTCAGTCTCAAAGAACGATGCCGTTATAGATATCGCAAAACAACTGACGGGATACTCGAGGTAATTAAACAAGCGAGTTCTCGACTGGATAGCACTCCACACATTGAAGAGGTGGGCTCAAAACGAAAAGCCACAGAGATGGTCGTGAAACGGGCAGCGCATTAGAAGCCGACCGTTTACTAAAAGACGCCTATCTCTTTCAATATGCTGATATCATCGAACATATGGCTCCAGAACTATAAAATGTAGACTGCCTTGTTGATTTACAATAACGACAAGGAAACTATCAAGCCGTTTTCATTGATAACTGTGTCGGCCGGAGTAACTCCTAGAAACAGCCGTTTGTTATGTATATAGAATTAAACGATGGACGCACGATTCTCAGTATGTACAGAGGGAGAAATAAACTATATGTCACCCTTAAGTTACAAAAGTCGAAATGCTAATCTCGCATTAATGTTAAAATCAGCAAATAAGTCGGTTGTAACAACATATGGCAAGAGAAAATCAGCGCTGAATTTCGGTCGATGTGCTTCGTTTTGCTGGAAATTTTAATACATCAGATATGTCCGCGCCCATTAGGAGTACTGATTTCTCAAGGGACTTCGATTTATTTGTTGATTCTCAACAACACCAACTTACTAATGGTCAACCGTACTATTAAGATAAGAGGAGTACTTACTTATTGAGTTCCTATGAATATGGTGGTATCTAAAAACCAGCTCGATCCATGTAAATCTCTGCTAACAGAGTTTGCTGAGCTAGCGAAGATATCACGCAATAAGGCAGGTCTTAAGCACACTGTTCAAAATCAAACAGTAGCGATAAAACCAACGACTAACGCAAGGTGACAAAGGTTAGACTCGAGTAGATATTATATACAAAAACAGGAATTTGGTGAGTTAAAGGAGCTAGGATTGTAAAACCGTATGGTAGCATTTGAGATTCATCGTTATAAATGTTCCAGAAAAAATAACAGGAAAACAATGCACTGTGGAGATCATTGAGCTCTTTGAGGGCAAACGATGGCTGTTAGAAGGTGGTATCACACATCCACGAGTCCACTAGTGACGCTTGTCTTTTGAAACCTGGCCTTGTTAGAGCTTGTAATCACATTCACATACCCTAAGAAGACATACGTAAAACGGCTGTAACGACTTCATTTTGGCTAAATGAATTTTCGCGCATGCTCTTCGAATAGACTGATGCAACACAAACTTTTCGGTGATTCGCTGGTCAGATTATCAAAGGTTTGGCGGGGTATATGTATATTTCGACAACATGCTAGTCACCAGTGCTATGGCAGACGATCATCTACAACAACTGATACGATTGTTCATGAGACTTTGGGAAGACAACACCTTTATTAACGTTAGGGAGTGTGAATTTGTAGAAAACTCCCCATAATTACCAGGACACATGGTAACTTAATAAGATATTACGTCACTACCAGCAGAAGTTGCTGCTATCTGAGACTATCCGTTATCTGAATCACAGAAGAAATCGCTAAGATTTCTGAGGCTAGTACATTATTAGAGATGATTTAACCTGGGCTGTAAGGCAGTAATACGACAACTAACGGGCGCCTTGCAAAAACACGCTCAGACATTCAGTCTGTCCATAGTGGTGATACAGGCGTTTGGGAAAACCAAGCAAGCCCCAGACGAAAAGACAACGCTGGTTTGGCGATAGAGAAGAACGCGTTTAGCCATTATGCCTGATGCTTTGAAAGTGACAGTAGGAGCCGTAATACATCGTTTAGTAAACGAAACATTGCTTTCGTGAAGGATTAGACTTCAAGCACCGTGATTACTCTCCGAGATCTTCTAAGAGAGAAACAGTAAAGACCCAATCTGTCTCAGTATTCTACTATCCTGAGACAAACACACTCAAGTCCACAAATAACCAACATAGGTTTGGTGAAGTCTAGTTTCTGGAATACCTATCATCCACTCAACGCTGTCAAATACATGGAGTCGTACTGAACGCAAAAACGTCTGGTCGATTAATACAGGCTCACAACACAAATATTAGGGATATTGGTTAAAGAATCTCTCTATGTGAATAAATTATTGATCACGTGTTACGAGCTATATACACTCTTTTTACTAACTTAGCATTTAGTTGCTTAAATCAAATGGTGACGCAGTTACTTTGCTAAACAAATGTGTTTCTTAAATAGTCGTTGTTCCTATTCGTGCTTGTAATCACTTTTTGTGCTAGTAGATTTGTGGCTTGTAATGCACAACAAAAAACTGAAGTCAACGCATAGTACTGTCTGCTGAAATTTATTTAACGGTAGGAGTTATCTGATGACGGATATTAAGACTAGTGGTATACGAAACCTTAAGAATCAAATTGAAGATTATCTAATACAGACGTCACAACAGCAAGGCAATATTCTCAAACTTTGCTTAAGGAAAGTTTTGTAAGTTGCAGTCAAAAGTCTTTTATGGATGCTAAAAATCATCAGCTTAACAATGGCCGTAACAGTGTTATTGGATTTTGGAGGTCGCCTAAAAGATACAAGGTCGTTCACAGCGCTGCTCACCGCGTGTTTTGCTTAGTGAGTCACACTAAATCCCGCAAACGTCTTTTTCAAAGATAATTATTGAATTATCATCACTTACCGAATACAAATCGACAACCTTTGTATTACATTTACCGTGTTGTCACTGCGTCTTAGCAATCTTTCTTACACAGTGCTGGTCAAACGCAGCTGCTGAATATCCTCAACCAAGAGACTTTGGGTTTTGCAAGTACTAAAAAACTACTCTCACTCATAAACCGTGTACTCTATCCTTTAAAGTTACAGCAGCATCGTAGATGAGCCAGGTTGACATGGACTTTTGGGCTTAAAACTGGTAGTGTTCTCGGGTTTGCTGTTCTTGCGCCCGATTGGGGCATTGAATGATTATGGAGATCAGTATTTCAGACATCATCCAAAAGCTGTCATCTGGTTTTTCGACCTTAACTGATGTCCGGCAAGACTGTTCACTATCTCAATTTTTGTTTAATTTCATCATAGACCCACTGCTGGAAATAACGTTCTCGTCGTCTGAATTTTTGGTCATCGATTTCCTACCAGGAGGTCCACTTATCGACATAGAATACGCAGATGACATAATCCTGTTTGATGGTAATGGTAAAATGCAGTGTCTTTTGGTAACGCTGAGCATCAATGACAGGATGTTTGGGATGCGTTTCTCCCCCTTTAAATGCAAATTATTGCTTCAAGACTGGGTTTTGCCAACTTACGTCACCTATGGCGAAGGGGAGATATCCGTCTCTCAGTTAAGGGACGAATATACTGCATAGCATTTCGTTCTGTTGTACTTTATGGCCGTGAAACATAGCCGAGAGTCGGTCACCAGCTACCATGGGACTGCATCTCCACACGATGCCCCACTGCCTTGTGAGTTAGACCTTTAGGTCCAAGGCTCGGGGTGTGGCCCCCTAAGAAAACTACCTGCTTCGGTCTGGGCACCCGGGCAGTATCCCCGCCCTCACACAAGTCGAATGACTCATGTGGCGCATATCTATTTGGTGCCTCCTTGTACCAATGTTTATGTTTAAATAAATAAAATAAATAGGTAGACGCAACCTACCTGGTTAAGGTCTGTGTGATAACCACGATCAGTACTTGGAGGCTTCGAGTGATATGACGAGATTGTCCAAAATAGGGCGGATGTAGTCAGCCTTTATCTTCCTCTCGATCTTGAATCCCAGTATCTTTTTATCCATACCCGTCCTCTCTATCATTTCGAACCACTTTCCTAACATTTAGTTTTCCTTTTACCATTGCTGCTACATTATTTCGATCTCTTGTTATTTTCATTTTGTCACGCTAATCTTGTATACGACTTGGGCTAAACACATTTGTGTCAGGCTCTGTGATAATGATTTCTATCGACCTATCCAACAAATTGAAGGGTCCCATGTTATCAACCAAAAAACATAACCATTATTAGTTTGTGGTATGTGCGGCAGTGTTGCAGGACTTAAAGAGTGTAAAGATATGGTTAGTACATTCTGGAATTGAAAAAAAAATCAAGGCCTGTTCTCCACAAGTTAGTTTTTCACGATTGTATAGATAAACAAACCCAAAGGCTACGTAAAATGGACTCAGGTCTGTTCATAACCAAATACAGAATACCACAGTTAAGAAAGCTTTCTGATTAAGTATGCCTTTAATGTTGAGTTTACTCTAAGTATGTACTAAGCCTCTCGGTGTAGTCAGCTAATGATAAGCTTAAATCTTTTCCTTTTATCTCATCGTAAAATAAGGGGCTATTTTAATCTAACATGCATCTGAAATAATAACTTTGTTGCTGACAGATTTTATTTTTTGATCTACTTAAGACTATTATTCTCTGAGACCTATGCAAGAAGGTTGACAGGACACAAACAACTAAGCTCTGGTTGGAATTCTGCTGTATCCACCTAGCCATCAACAAGTGGGAGAATTGGTATTAGCCGTGTTGGTGAATGCTCTACAACAATCTCTGTAAGAGGTAACAGGTCAGCCGATTGATTATACTTATCACTAAAGACTACCTCAATGTGATTCGCATGTGTGAAAAATGTACGAAAGTATTCAGAGAGAAGAGTTATTTGCTATTTGTTCAATATTTCCAGATTTGATAACTTCGGTCAATGGAATCAAGAAATTACATGTATTGTGTTTTTGAGCTCTCTTCGTAATATATAGATACCTGTTGATTCTGTTCGCGATCTCGATAAGGCGAATTTTCCTGTACAAGTCAGTTTAAAGATCAGTTCGATCATGCGTCCAAGCGGATTAAAGAAAGTCGTGATCATCCACTTATCTTGTAGTCCTACATACCCTGAAACGTGAGTAGTGGCTTATAGTTTGTAATACTGTTAGATTTAGGAAAGTTTCTACAAATAATTGTATTTTTAAAGTATTTTAGTCATGAATGTGGTTTTTATTTCATCATTAGGAAATCCACTTAATACCCCCTCGAAATAGTTTTGCTCGTAGTTTGTGAACAGTGTATTTGTGACCTAGTCTTCAATATTTTTCCAAGCTCTACACAGAATTTAGCTCTACTTCTGCTCGTTATGATATAAATTACTCATTAATAATTGTAAATGTTATATGGAAGCTGATCTGTTTTACCGTAACTGCGAGGTATTTATGTCTTCTGTTTCTCATACTGGTAATGTGCTTAAAACTATGTATTTGGGCTACTTCATTTTACAAACTTGGTATTAAAATAGTACATCGTAAATCCAAAAACATAAGCAACAAGCTCTGACACTGTTCTGTAATATAAGGGGGCTCGTAACTTCGTCTATTTTCTCACTTCGGTTGTCACAAAATCTGGTATTTTTATAATAACTGAGTACATGATCCCGCCAGCTGAATTCGTGAAGACTGAAAAAATAGTTCTTTGGTTGCTCCAGTGTATACTTAAAGCCCCTATTTAGCCAGGATTTACCACGCGACAGAAAAATCCATCTTATAAAGTACCATCGGGAAATTAATATAAAGGATAATCAAGGGTTTACCTGGGACTAGTTAGACTAAGCGACATCTGTTGTTAGGTGGAATTATATGACATATCATCTTTAGTCTAAGTGAAGTGGAATATGGATTAAATGTGGAAAATATTTTCTTGTGTTGAGAAATCTGTAAATGTTCTAATTAACATAAATTTGTTCCTTAATACCTTGGAACTGGAACTCTCCAAACTAAACATATTCAAGTCCAAAACTGTAGCCTTTGCTATAACGTAGCACCTGATATAAGCGTTTGTCAACTTTATTCACCTAGTTACCACGCTCATCAAGATTAGGAGAAAACCTAGTATGTTTAACTCCAGGATTACTTCGTGCTCCCAATATACGCTGGTGAATGCTCGGCGAAACCTGTAGCCAAATACTCAATACCTATCTATTCCTTCTCTTTCCATAACCAATGTTTTGCAGTTGTGCAGCAATACAAAGCTAGCCACTGGGGAATGTACTCGTCCTTTGCTAGGCAGGTAAATATTTCACTGATCCCACAGGTGACCAAAGTTGGCTAAAGCCAAACACCCTTTTTGTATCCATCTCATGATTTCAACAGCCGCCGACTTAATGGAGCTGATGAGACTTCCAAGATAAATAAAGTGGTTAGGACACTCAACTACTTCACTCCTTATTGTTAGAATAGACTTCAACGCAAACATCGGAAAGCTATGGGATCATGTGATAAACATGTATTTAAACTCTGACTTTTTATACCCTCGTATTTTACTGTGTAAAATTATAGCATTACTGGAGATGTTGGTTATCCACAAAAAACTTCTTGCTGCTTTCACGCTCTTGTTGTGTTACTTTATTCTCATACCTTAAATTTTCTATCCTCAGTCTTTATGAGTTCGAAAGGCCTCATTCAATAAGTATTTTAGCCATTATACCTCGCTTTAGCAATAGACGAGCTTGGCTACCTCGTCGAGGTAGCAGCTACAGTAAGGAAACTTGTAAAGGATTTGAATTACATTTTTATTTCTCACTATATGTGCCTGCTAACTGTAAACAGCTCTTAGTACACTTCACTTCCCCAAAATACTACTTCCACGTTCTGTAGCTGCTTCCTATATTACAAGTAGCATTTTCAGTTTATCAGTAATCAATTTTTTGTGAACTTTTAGTTTTTTCATGTTATTTGTATAACTAGAAGCTCACAATCCATCTCCCTATCGAAAAGAAATATTATTATATTCTATTTCTTTACAGACTTCTCAATTTCCGTATCAAAGGAGACAAACGAGTCACTAAAACACAAATAAGTGTTCTTCATGATGTTCTTAAGCAGTTGGCTGAAACAATGAGAGGTCAGGTAATCTGACATGAATATAGAATTTTTACCATTTATCTACAACCAGTTTAGTTTGGATCCATATCGTTTTTTTGTATTTGTATTCTTGGTTCACCTTTTAGAAAATACACTGTTACAATACATATTGTAAATTTTGAAACTCATTCTGTTTTTCAGAATTTATGAAGATTTCCTATCAAATAACCTTTCAAAAACCTACTTTTTATTAAGGGTCTTTTGTATTCACTCCATAATCATCTATCTTATATAGCGTCAATTAATTTACTTAGACTCCTCACTTCTAGCCACTAGCTGCTAATTCTCAATTCTGTATGAAATTTTTAGCAACGTGAGTGGGCAAATGTGCATAGACATGATTACATATGATACCTCTTTGGTCTTAGTTTTGGACTATGTTTTCGTTCGTTATCCTTTGATTGTTTTTGGCCGCTATCATTACTTACTTTGTAATCCGTCTATTTTAATTACATATCACTATTCGATAACTTCAAATAAGTCTATACTTGCTTATGAAACTTCTACAGAAAAAAGACTGATATGAGACGAATTTGGTCAATCGTGTCATTAACACAACTAAGTAGATAATGTGGTATTACGTACTGACTCTGTTTCATCACTATCATTCATTTTCACCAAATAAGGCTGACCAATAATTAATAGTATCTTATCGTTAAGTCTTCAGTATTATTATTGTTATTGTCATCACCTAGAGATTTTTAGTCACATGCACGTAACAGGATATGCAAAATAACTGACTATTCGGTCGTTGTTCCAACTGGATTTTATCGTTTTCGTATTTTTATTTACATGAAGAATCAGTCATTGATATCTCTAGATTTTTAGTATTTTAAACTAATAAATTATAAAGAGATTACCTTGTGTTTTTAACTTTAAGAAATCAACAAAGTTCAAAAGTCTAATATTCCTTTCACGTAACTCTATATGTGCAAGATATATTTCCTTACTAACTTTTGGATTTGTTTAACATATGAATGGTGATTCTGTACCTATCTACCTGTTGTTAAACCTATTATTTCGTTTTAGTGTAACTGAGTGTTGATTGTCTCCCAAGAATTTCACAGTATGCTAAGAGATTTCTTTTGACATACCTGGTTTCTCGAAGTTTTTTTTAAAAGCTTTCTCCTAATTTTCTTATCTACAAAGATGGTGATGGTTTGGGGTGATTGAATGAGAGTTTTCTTCAGGTAATGATGTCTTGACACTGACTATTTTTAAATATGACCATCAGGTTCTACTTGAATGGTTCAACAGAAGTGTCATAGGTATATATAAACGTCTCGATTTCTATGCAGTGTGAGCTTGCAAATGTGCTTTTCTAACAAGTCTAAAATTAAAATTAAAGCATGTTGTTCATTGTTCACGGTCTTTGTAATTTTTCCACCTCATTTTCATTGTGATAACTGTTCTTCGTTCTACATAATAAAGTTCTCATATAAAGAAAGATTAATTTACACAGTTCGATTATGTTTTAAAATTGTAATTAAGTTGCTTTTAATGTTTCTTCTTTTTTTGAAATAATTACTAGATATGCATGAAAGAGCTAATCGAAGCTAGTCACGATTTCTTAAAGTCATTGTCCAAACCCATCGTTGATTGTCAAACACTTAGAAATGAACAAGATCTCAATTTAAGAAATGATGATAATCTAGTATCTAAATTAAAAATGGTAAAAAGAGAAGTTTTTTAAGTATAGATCTGTTTGTTTTTTAGTCCTTAAAACTTGTACCTTTATCATGAGTATTTAACAGTGGCTATGTACATATATGAAATTATTGTCATTTATTCAACTGTGAATTAAATTTCTAATCTTTTACATTCAGTTCGATGTCGAATGATATATTAAAGTATTAGTATTTACAGTGGGTTTGCACTTTTTTCATGCATTCTATAGTATACCTCGATTTTATCTTAGACTAAAACGATAGTCAGGCGCAACTGACACAAGACGAACTCAGAAAATCCCTCTCCTACAGATAGTCCTTCATCAAGTACTTTCCCAGGTCTAGTCAGTCAATGCAATACATTTCTTATGAGATTTAATTTATTATCTCGTCTTTTATGACAGGCGTTTCATCTGATGTTTTTTAAAAAAATCAATATTCGCCACTTTTATTTTGAATATTTTCTCTAGGCTTACTAGCGAGGAACTCAAGTCGAATTTATTTATTTTGACAAAATATCACATCCTTTAGATTATTTTTTTCTCAAATAAACCTCTTTTGGTAATCATTCAGATCGTTTTGTGAATGTTTACCTTTCAGATTGAACACATTGATGAGGCTATTCAGTGGCGTTTGTCATTAAATGACGTAAGACTAATTTTATCGTTCATTTATCAAGTGTAATGTATTACGAATGAGACTCCTTATGTCGGTCGTAATTTCAGGAAAGTAGGCATTATGAAACAACTAAGTATAGGTTCTTATTTCTTCGTCTTGTGGGGATGCATCTGGCATTTTTTTCTTGACATTCTTTCGAAACTATTTTGTTTTAAAATGATAAGGTCTTAGTACTAAGTGTTGAATCTAACGGTAGATCGTGAAAAATAGTTTACTTTATCAACTCAGTTCCCCTTTAGAGGCGGGGTTAACTAGTAATAAAGTATCAAATTAACGTAACTATAATTCTAGGGCTCAATTTTCACTTCATCTACAGACTATTTAATGTTGTAACTAACATATGAACAAAGATTATTCTTTTCAATCAATTCTCTTCAGGTTCTAAAATGATCATCAAAATTAATAATCCAAAATAGTGGCCAGATTTAGGGTAAAGTACATTGTTTAAAATTATAGCATGTAAATTTAGGATTGTTTGTGTAATGAAATAAAATTATTAGTGTTCGGATGACTACTACGCAATGTTAACTCGAATAAGCTTACACGTCAAATGAAATTGTGAGACCAATGATCAGAATAAATATGGGTCAAATATTGGGGAACTAAAAAGCATCATTCCATCTAATATTACAAAAGACAGCTTAAATCCTTGCATATAATTGTGTAATTACTGAAATGTATTTTTGTTTCCTGATTCGCATGATAAAGTTTCCCTCTACTAAATGAACTTTAGATTTGTGGCTCATAGCTAGTAGTTATAGTCTGATCGATGCTAGTTGGTTCTATATAATTGTATTATACAGAGTAAATAATCGCAGTATCGTAAAGAAAGCCCTCAATGTCTAGTAAATCTGTTAAAATATATATTATTGAAAAATACAAATGTGTAATTGTTAAAATAACGCACTGAACTATATTGACACTAGTCCACTCTGCTTGGAAAATCTAATAGTTCTATATTTAGAATATATTGGTCGTCAAAATTGATAATGAAATCCTAGATAATGTTCAATACATTAATTGTTATTTATGAATTTCGTGCAATTGGTTTCCTTTACAAATTTGAATTAAGCCAAAACAACAAGGAATTCATATTATTCCGTCTCAGTTGTTATTTTAACTTATAAATCGATATGACATGATTAGTCTCATTAACGTATTAACGTATCATCGTAGTATACGTGCAAGAGAGGAAGATATTGTAAACCATCAGTTACAAAAACATCTGTTAATTTAAGTAACACTTGAAATACGTAAATATGTATATAGTTTTTTAACGAAAGGTAAATAATCATGAAATAACATTATATTTGCATAACAGTAATTCATGTTTTCTATAAACACCCGTAACAAATAATCACGGTGATTCCTTTCTTTTATGACAGTCAGAAATCGAAAGAAAAAAAGAAGAATATCAACTTTCTGAGTATGTCATACTTTTAAAAAAACATTCTTCATTGGTGTCATTCATATCTGTAAATACCGTTAAGTTGTTAATTATTAAACTTCTATTCATCAAATCAGGTTTTAAATATGTTTTTATTATTGTTTTAAGTATCATATTGTGTATCTCGACTCTTCTTTGTCTAGAACTTCGGTTTCTGTGGTGTACGTCCACTTTCGCCCAATTATTTACGTAAGAAAGCCTCATTACGCTTCAGAGTTATGCGTCATACGTTGATAGGTCATTGTATCTGTAAATCGCCACTGTTATATCTCGGAATGAACATTGTTATAATTGGAAAATTTGGATCCGTCGGTAGTGTTGTAATACGGTAGCCAACTGTTTTATCTGGACAGTCGTCGCTGTTATGCACGATCGGGTCTGTTGAATTCACAGTCTTATTGGCTTTACTTGAGAATTAGGAACCACTGCAATTCTTCGATCCCACTTCTTATATTATGCTGGTTGGCGGCCTATGCTCCTCCACGAGGGGTAACAGGCGTAAGTAAGTAACTTCTTATATTGAGAAATGAGAACCCACTACAATTCCTACGACATAAAGCGCGAACACAAAAGACTAGTGCAATGAAGATTTGTTGACTCCCAAAAATACGTTTCCAGACAAGCTCCATTATCACATCCAAATCGCTTTAACCTTCGACCACAATACGATGATTTACAGACCAAGTTTCATACACCTAATAATATCACATGTGAGAGGAAATACGTAGAGTTGCTGTAAAAAAACACAAAATATATTTTACCTGAATTAACACGGTAAATAAAATTGTCACACTGAACGACAGTTCACACTTGTTATATAAAGCAAAGTTTCTACTAGATTACCCGACCTTACCATCTGTTTAGATTTCATTTTCATAAGGTTTACATTCTTTTCCGATGCACACTTTAGTAACGATCGTTACCGTAAAATCTATCGGTCATGTAATCAATTGTGAGTTTCTGTTCAAAGAATCTGAATTATTTTGGACTTCAGTATGTGGATATGTGTTTCAAAACTTGCAGAAGGGTAAAGAATTGGTTGAGATTTGAATTTGAGTTTGTTTTCTGGAGTTTTCTGTTCCTGAGTTGCGTTTCGGCAACGAATAATTATGGAAGCTAGTATTTTCAGTATTGTCAAACCGAATTCTTTGTGGTTTTCACTATCAGTATTCTTCTTTTTCTTATAGATTCGGTTGATCGGTGGTTGTGACCGGTGGTATGTGATCATGTCCTCCAACTCTTATACTTTATAAAATATTTTGGTCAACTTTTACTAAAATTGGACCATTACCTTTAAGATTGCTTAATTTAAGATATCAGATTCGGTTTGTTTCTTAAGCTCCATGCTAAATAGGACTTTTCCAAATTCCCTAAAAGTTAACAGATGTATCGTTTCTTCCATTTTATTAAGACGCTTGAAAATGCATTCTTTCACTAAACCATAATCGGAGTTCAAATATGTTTTAGGATAAGCAGAAATCTTCTGTCGAACTTGTGCAACCCCATTTGGCTTCAGTGTTTTCTGTTTGTGTTCACTGTTTTATCATTGATTGAGATAATGTTTCTTTCTATGCTTCAGACTGCTTGCTAGAAATAATTATCTTGATGTTTAGATATTCCATGTCGTTGTTACTCATGTTCAGTTATGCCTCATAGGAAAATCTGTTCTTTAATTCACGTACTTACTATGTAACTAAACACATATGTGCTCTATAATGAAGAAAAGTAAGTAAACAATCGATGGGTTTCAGTGTTCTTCGTTTATGCGTTCAAAATTTCAATGGTTTTGTAGAAAACTAAATCCTAATGTTATTTTAGATAACAAATTGCAACAAATTAGTACCTTTAATAGTAAATCAAAAATTAAGCAAATTAATTCATAATTACAACCCTCTATTTCTTTAAAATCATAAACTTAATATTCTCTATGGTGTCATTCTACGTTTTAATAATTTTTAGAATTTTTTGTCAATCTGAAGTTCATGGATTAGATACTCAAACATTATCAATGCATTTAAATTCTCATCGTTACCAACCTTCCTATCCAGATGTTATCGAAAGGTGCCCACTAACCAGACATATGTCAGTTTGTTCTCTAAAAATGTTGTACTTAGAAGACTATAAAAAACTGAAGAAATACACAAACTTCGAACAGTATAAAGCAGCGCATAGGTCCATTGAATCAACGTTCATTGACATTCAGAGAGGATGTTGTGCTGATGGACCGCATGATCGATTCAAGTATGTACTCTTTAATTAAATTTTTTAAATGATCCAGTGTTCTCAGTGCAGATATTTTTCCGTGTGTTTGCTATTTCGATGGATTGGATGTAAAAACCGGTGCTTCAATTCAATTGCATGAATGGGTTTTTCACAACAATAGTGCTTACTTAACTAGCAATAACTTTGTGGATAATTTCCTTACTCAACTAGCCTACTTTGCCCGACAAGATAAACATCCAAATCTGTGTAGAATTTTAGGTGTTGAATGTACCAGAAACTTGCCTGCTTGTGGTAAGTCTAAAAATTACTATCATAATATTCATTTCGATAATATTCAATAGGCTTGTTTGTTCTTCCATATATTGGAGCTACAGATCGTAGGATTATTTAAACGTATGACACGTACTAATGAAGATATATTTCATAAACGCACATTAAGCCAATTCTTTCTGAGGTTAAACTATAGTAGGAAGTGTATGTCTTTTAGAGCAAGTTTAAGTAATTACATACACGCATCTGTAATACATGGAAGCTAAGTTATTTGTTAATGACTTTTAAGTCTTCCTTTTGTTGAATTTCTTATTCAGATTGTAAGTCGAATGAGTAATATATGCCAATGATCATAAACTGTGAAATTTTAATATTATACAAACTAGTAAACATTGTTCAAGAATCTTTAAACGAGAGATAAACATTTTATTTCACTGCATCCACTGATAATAAGTTTCTGGTACACTTGTTTAGAACAAGTAAATTTAAGTCATAGCGACCAATATTAGTCCCATTTTGTCAGGAATTATATCATTTCAGATATTATTAGTAAACAAACGAAACCCAATTTTATACTCTTTCTTGTTTAATTGCTTTGCTTTGTAAGTGTACTGGGTATTACCTGACTTGTTGAATCTCATTTAATATGACATGTTTCTAGCCAGTCGTCTGGTAGGTCTGTTCTAAAATATTTAGTATTGTACTTAATTATCCATGTGTCACCATTACAAGGTTGATAGTTTTACTCGTAATATATTATGACCATCTTAAATCAAGTGTACTGTATCACATCATTCTATATAATTTGTCAGATTTTTGGTGTAGATTCTTAGTAGACCTAAATCTTATTTTCTGAGACATAAAGTTTTTACATAGTGCTTCATGGTTTACCGTGATGTGTAGTGTTTCCTAAGCACTGAATACGTCGAAAATATCCAGATATTTGTCCTTAAATGTATTCTTCGGTGCGGAGAGAACTGTTCGAGTTGAAGTAATAATAATTTTGCTTACTATACGCGTGTCACCTCACTTTGTTTAATGTTTAATTATTTTTTATGTTAGTTGTCTGTTTGTTAATATGACCAGCAGATAGTAAATCCTCAGAGACTGTAATTAGAACATGTGTTGCGTTGCCCAACTATCGCCTACCTTGAAGCGCTATTTCGTCTGGAGTAGGATTAGGTTGGATGGAACCTAGGGATTAGTAAACTAAGACGTGACATCGGTTAATGAACCGTTTTATCAGGTCATGTTGATAGGTGCTGACTACTTGGTGCTTAGACACGTTATGACATGGCTCAGAACCGGGCACAGTGACACAGTTATTGATTATCCGTTTAAAAGACCTTGGGGATGCTATGTCCTGATCGTGGATGTCTACGTTTCCGCTCTGTAAACTCAATTGATTTCTGGTAAGTATATCAGTGTTCGATATTGGTCCCAGATATGCCGAAACCACATGCATCACTGAGATTTTCGTCCATTTTTACATTGATGCAAATCTAATAGCATGCCTTCCTAGCTAAGGGAGTCTTGTTTCTGAATGAAGCAATATAAAATCTTTCGCTATCTATAATTTTGATGTTCATTTATCTGGGGATAATATGATGTTGGTTTTTATTTATTTATTTATTTATTTATTTATTTATTTATTTATTTATTTATTTGAACACATAAATATTGATACAAGAGGGCACCAAATATATATGGTTTCAGATCCGGTTTTACTGACACTGACTGCATATTGTTTTACTCGGTGGTGCTGCTACCATGTTTTAGTAAATTAAAAAAGCTATTATTAGTATGCAATTTTCCAAGCTGTAATTGCATTAGCTTACGGGTTAATAAGTACAATATTTATCATGCCATTACAACATTTTGCCACCATATTTCGTCCCATTACATAAGCTACTATCTTTGATTGAAATAAAAAAGTGTTTTGTTGATTCGAAATTTGAGAAAAACAGTGTCTTGTTTAAGGCTTATTGAATCTTAGAGATCTTTAGTTGAAAATCCCAATATGATGCGCAAATTTTTAACTTAGCATGGTTTCTTGTAATATTAGGCTTCAAGCCTAACATATATATGAATAATAGTTTCCGGCTGCCTGAATCGAAATGAATAAAGGTGGATTTGAGGTTTTTAATATCAATTGTATCAACAGGCGAGTTTTAGTTTAACTATTTGACTAATGTACAACTCATTTAAATTAGATACCTCTTTTACGACAAGTGTTTCATTCTGTGTATTTCTCGAATCATAATTCACCATTTTCACTTCAAATAAGAATCATCAGTGCATCCGGTTTAACATATGCTCCTAAATTTGAATAGTACTGCATTTGTAAGTTTTTATTTACTGATAGAGATGTCAAGTTGGCAGCTATAAAAGTAGGGAATGAAGCCTTTATTTGTGCGATACATCGCTTATGCAAGTACTATCGTTCATTCTCAATGTGAGGTTGTTATTGGAACGTGCGTTTATTCAATACTACTTATAATTTACTGTTAGTCACTTCATCTTTCTCTCTATGTAGTGGTTAAGTTAGATAAACTTCTATAGACATACACTACCGGTTCACTATTTTTTAGTCATTGTAACATCAAACTTGCAGTTCAAAGTATTGTTATAATTGACGATTTTCTAAATCCTTAGTTCTACATAATATCTTATGGGTTTCAGAGGTTCATTCCAACATTGGCGTTCTCGTGTTTTTTTCTCATATCGGGCATTTTTAACGGAATAAGATTAAAAGCAATATTACAATAAGTGGCAAAATGTAAAGTTTTAGTTATATTTTATCATAATATTTTTACTTTTCGAGGTATTGATAATGATGCCTATCATCAGAACATGGAGAAATCATGGGAGAACTGGGATGTTATTCGTTTAATCACGGAACGTCCAAAAGGCACAAGTTTGGAGTCTGTCGGATCTGGAGTATTTCCTCCAGTTGCTAATGAGAAACTTGGTCCTAACTTATTCTCCGTTTCAAAACCTCTCGAAATCGATGATAAAAAATTGGTGTGGTTACGTTATGTAATACACCAGATCGTTAGTGCAGTTTCTTGGCTTCATACCTATTCTTTCGTGCATAGGAATTTACATGTGAGTTGCATGTGCGTGCATGTGCTAATTACCATACTTCTGATTCATAATTCCTGCAATCATGGCCAATACCACAGTCGCCGTGGCGGCGTATACATTTGGACTTCGCTGATCCACTTCACGGGCAAAGTTACCTTTTGCTAGTTGATGCATATAGAAAATGGGCAGAAATTTTTCTCATGGAACATCCAACTGCAAAACTGCACAGTCACAAAACCACGTCAACTATTTAGTCGTTTTGGGGTCCCAGAATTAATATTTATCGACAGTTGAACATAGTTTGTCTGTTATCTCAGAATTTTATCGACGGAACGTAATCAATCATGTTTGAACACCTCCGTTCCATCCCCAATCCAAAATTCAAGTAGAATGCTTTGTTAGTAAATTTAAAATACTTTGCTAAAATCAGAGAGGTCAGGAGGCCATCAAAGAAAGGTTTCTGCTTATCTATCATTCTAAACCAAATCTTCAGACAATTAACGGGTTGTATTCAGCAGAAGCTTTACTTGGCAGAAAAATATGAACACGTTTCTATCCCATATGTCCGATACCAGCTCTTGAACCTCAGAGAAACAGATCAATGGATCAGCAATTCAATCGACATTATGGGGCACAAAGACGATTGCTCACCGTGGGTCAAAAAGTAGTTTTTATGGCTTATCGTAGCAAACATTCTATATGGATAGCTGCTCGAGTTGTGCCAAATTTAGGAAATGTGGTTTACGAGGTGGCAGTTAGCTAAGAAGTTTGGGTGTGTCGTGCTAACCGACTAAACGTAAATTCGATCGCCAACAACGGCACCTAACATAGAATACCTCTTGGTATCTTTGAAATCGAAACCACAGAAACGGACAGGCAAACGAAGTGATACCACTACTTTATTGCCTAGAGGGTGGAAAGATCAAGAGTACATATCAGTCACTCGGTTGCAGGCGGACCCTAACACCATATCCTACAAATCTACTCAAAGTGGAGGTGTTAACTGGACATTACTTACTTAACTACCTACACCTGTTACCTCTCGTGGAGGGGCATAGGCCACCCACCAGGATTCTCCATTCAACTCCCGGACAATCCTCTCTAGTACTTTCAAGATGCTATTCATCCTTTTAATGTCTGCTTCTAATTCTCGACGCGGTGTGTTTCTTGGTCTCCCTCTTTTCCGTTTCTCTTCAAGATTGTAGATAATCGCTTGTCTGGAGATGCAGTTTGATTATTTGCGTAATGTATGTCCTATCCACTTCCAGCATCTTTTCTTAATTTCCTTTTCATCTGGATGTTGGTTTGTTCCGTCCGATAGTAGGCTGTTGCTTATGGTATCCGACCAACAGATATTGAGTATCTTGCGTAGGAAATTGTTTATAAATACTTGTACTGTTTTGATGATGGTTATAGTAGTTCTCGAATTTTCGGCTCCTTACAATAGGACGATCTTAACGTTCGTATTGAAGATTCTTATTTTGAAATTGATTGACGGTCGTTTTGAGTTCCATATATTCTTCAACTGTTGAATGCTGTCCTTGCTTCACCAATTATTGCCTTAACATCTCCATCGGATCCTCCGCGTTCATCGATGATGCTGCTCAACTACGTGAAAGTTTCCACCCCTTACAGAACTTCTCTATCAAGTGTGACTGCGTTGTTGTTCTCTGTGTTGTATTTGAGGATCTTGCTTTTTCCTTTGTATATATTAGGTCCTACTGATGCTACACTGACTATCTTCACATGCATTTGTTGGTGGGTATGGGATAAAGGAGCTAGGTCATCTGTGAAGTCCAAATCGTCTAGTCGCACGCAAGCTGTCCATTGTATTCCGTTCTTCCCTCCGATGTCGAGGTCTTCACAATTCAGTCGACCAGCGGAAGTAAGAAAAAGGGCGAAAGTCTTGTCTGACACCGGTCGTCACTTGAAATGCACCTGTCGGCTGTCCTCCATCCACGACGTCACAGTGTAGTCCGTCGTACGAATTCCGGTTGTGTTGACGATCTTCACATGTACATCATATGGTCGAAGAAGGTTCCATAATGTTCTATCCACACTGTCAAACACCTTCTCATAGTCAATAAAGTTTATGTATAGTGACGAGTCCCATTCAACTGTAAGTTCACAAGTGATCGATAGTGTGGCAGTTTAGTTGGCAAACGATTGACCGTCACGAATTCCGACCTGTTGATCTCGAAGCTGGACGTCTACTGAATCTTTCATCTGGTTCAACAACACTGTTAAAAACCTTTCAGTATACTAACAATAATGTGATGCCTGTATAGTTCTCACATTTGTTCAGATCTCCTTTCTTCGGTATCTTGATGAGGTGCCCTTTTTTCCAGTCTGTCAGCACTTGTTCCTCCTTCCAAATCTTCCTAAATAGAACGTGGAGCATTTTGCAGTTACCTCTATATCTGATTTGATTGCTTGGGTTGGTATACTGTCAGGTCAACACCGACAAGTTGTATCTCCTCATTTCCGCAGCTATTTGATTAGTCCTCCTGGTCTCCCACATTGTCCGGGCATTCCATGTACTTATAATTAGTGCTGGTCGGATTTTTAAAAGGAAAATGGGCCTTGTGACTTCCGGGGAATCTCGGCTTTCTATGAGGCGTCTTTATTCTTTTGAATGAAGATCCTTCAACTCGGATGACAGGGTTGAAATAGCTTTAATTGTTTTATATTGTTAGCGTTCTTTTAGCAGGGTTGTTTCCTATGACATGGGGTTGCTGACATCATCCTTAACCCTCCTGTTTTACATGGGCTTGCGACTGACAGTAAATCTAGCAGAGCTGCAGGCAGAGTTGGCGGGATACAGATAGGATTAAAACATGTTCCGTGCAGGATTGTGTCTGGGCACGCCATTTCTTAGCCGATGAGCGCTAGCGGATTCTTGAAGAAGACATTATAATCTCGCGTAATAATTATATATATGCTAACGCTTTTCTTATTGTGATTCCTATTTCCATTCAACCTTGTTTATTCAGAATTTAATTACCTTCCTATTCAACTGTGTTCTGATATGGGAACTTGTCAAATAAAATATAGTGTCCAAAGAATACCAAGCAATAAGAGTATCTGGGTCGTAATAAGAGAAACTATAACATACTAACAATTTTGTTGACACTTTTTATGACAATATCGTTCAATTTTTGTTGGCTCCCTTCATGCATGAGCCGATAAAAAGTGGCTTTTTCAGCTTGTTTGCTAAAGATTTGTTTAATATAAAGTTTTCCTAACTAATTAATAACAGTATAGATAGTCATCAGTGATTATGATTTGAATTTGCTGGAAGAACGTATTACAGAAGAAATTTACCTTCATTAATGGAGCAGTAGTTACATCCTTTGTTATCATTTCAAAGGAGTAGCCGATCTTGTCTAGTATGAAATTATATATTGTTCAGTGAAAGTAACTCGACTTTATACATTTGAAGGACATTCATACTTAACTAAGATCAGATAAGATGCCGTGTCTACATTCTGATAGGTTCTTCTGTGCGTCATGAGTCCTCGAAAACTAAATCTCAGCACATCCTCTGTTAAACGTAAATCATAAAACCCTATCTTACTCTTCAAACTTTTCATCAGGAAAAAAGTATATTATAGACACTACAATAGACAACTTGTTTCCCATTACCCTTGTGATCCACATCCAACGTTTTACTTATATGATGATTATTTCAAGCTCATTGAATAAACATCTTAAAATGGTTCGTTTTTTAATTTTGTTTATTTTAGATAGTCATCAGTAATGAATAAGTATTCATATTTTTTATATCATTTCAGCCTTCAAATATATTTGTGGACGAATTAGGTCACGTCACATTATGCAGATATGAATTCTTTGCGAGGTAATAACTGAATTATAGGTTCTATTTTTGTAGACTGTTAGTACGTTGTAGCTGGGACCTTTGTTTTACTCACCAATTTATGTAATGGTAGCTAGACTAGTCGGTCTTTAGATACTTTTCATTTTACGAAATCAGATGAGTGGAATATTAATTTCATATTATAAAGTGTTATGAGCAGGTGTATTGTGCAAAAAGTCGAAATGGTGTTACAATCCATTTCGGTTGAATCCACATTATATCTTATCAAAATTGTTCTTTCACTTCGATAGCCTGCGGTTACAACGTAGAATCTAATTGTATTATATGGGTCTTAAGCAGATTGGTAAAATTATAGATGTTCATTGACTTAAGTGATCATAATATTCACGTCTGCCTAACCACTGCCTTACTCAAGGTATGATCTCTGGTGTAGGAGAGAGTTGGCAGAAAACCAAGGACAATCAGACCAAGATATGGAGTTAGTCCGTGAATTAACTGGTTATTGGACCAAGCCATCTTGTTGGGTGCCAACTATTAGATCTGAGTCTTCGCACTTATCGTAACCAATGGTTGGAGACGTTATGTGACATGCTTCAGAATCGGTGCAGATGTTTTCAGTTGTATTCACTTTTTGTCTTCCCGTAGATCTTGAGTTTTGAAATCATCTTACTTTTTGTTCCGGGAATTCACACCTATCGAATGATATTGTCCAGGTTCATTGATTAGTTTTTGTATTTATATTCACTCGTTGGTTCCCTCTTGTTGGAACAATGCTTCCAACGCATTTGCTACTACATACTCCTAATGTGTCCTTCAAGGTTGAGTAATCGTTTTATGATTTTTAAGCTCTCTAGTTTACCATTACACATCAACGGTTACTATTTTACTTTATGTAACACTTGTTTGATTTCTTCACAATCGAAGAACATACTTCACATTAGTCAGTACGTTATGCAACCAAACTATTTCTTTATGTCGGCGATAGTTGCCTATAGTAATTTCGGTTTACTTTCCCCCCCACTTTTTAGATGCCAAATAAGCAGTTTTAAGCTTATTAGTGTAGTATTACTTGAAAGGTGTTGCACAGTCAGTGTATGAAATACATACTCTAAATTAACCGACTTTGTTTGCGTTCCATAATTGTGTATCATCTGTTAAGAAGCTAGCGTATGATTTGCTGAAATAGTTGATGATTATTTAAAATGACTTTGGATAAATGATTATGTGGTATATTGCATATTTCAAAAGGTTCCGGTTTTTTTCCTATATTTTAAATTGATTCCTATTTTGTTTATCAGCTTTTAAATTGTTTTCTGTATTTAGACTTGATCAAGTCGTTTCTGAAAATTTAAAACAACTAGGTGTTCAGTTACCCCAAAAAGCATATCAATGTGCTGTTCACTACTTTAAACGTTCCGTACAACAAAGAGATCTACATCAACTTGTAAGTGCTTTCATCGTCAACGATATTTTAGCTGTTTGAATCTTATCTTGTGTTTGTTTTTTGCAAACACGTGGGTGAATTGTATATATATATTGAGAACCCTGAACTAATCTTTTAATTTTAATCTACCTAGGATGCGTTGTTTAAATTAATCTAAGTTATTCTATAGGCTTTAGCAGGAGAAGTAATTGAAATGCTGGGTTTATTAATGGATTCGTATGAAGTAGAGAATCTCATTTTGAACTCACATTATTATCTATGATATATTAGAATTAGATCTTGTAAATCTAAAAATCAAAGAAATGCAATAACAAATGTTCGAAAAACTTACACAAAGCCAAAATTCTCCTGACTACGATGTCGAAATTATTGTATGAAATAAACAAACTCAAATATATCAGTTACAGTTTCTGTTTATGTTAGCAAGAAATAGATTAAATCAAAGAACGGTCCATGCTGATTTACGTTGAAGCATGCTTATTGCCACATTTATAGCCGATCAGCACCAATGAATGTATGGCAAAGACTAAAATCTTACTGTGTAAAAATTATGAATGTAATAACATTTTCCTTACTATATGAACTTTTCTGTTTTGTTTTGAAACATAGTCGCTTTTCTGTTCAAACCGTGTTCTTATTTGGGAATCAATCGAATTGAGTGAAGTGTCTGAGGAATACTAGAAAATGGAAACAACTAGGTGAAATAAGCAAGATTTAACAGCTTGTTTTGAACTAGGTTTAAAATTACCCTCAAGCGAAAATTCAAGATACAATTGGCCTATAATAGAGTCCTAGAAGGTTATTAAACGTGATAAGTAACAATGTCACAGAGATTAAATATTTTATGTAATTTTGTACAGTTAAAACGAAGAAATTCACTGACTCCAGTTGAAGCGTACAGATATGGCTGTATTGTGTATACAGCAGAAGAAGTAGTCGGAACTCGGTAATTGAGCTTAGCTTGTAGAATAAATTGTGGAAATAGTATGTATATGCTTTGCAGTACTAACTGGTTAAAGATTTTAAACGTTACTTCAATTTAATTTAGTGGAGTACTTTGTGAAATGGTTAGGGTATTGCTCATTAGTTAATAAATGGTTCTCGATATTGTTAGCAACTATTCTATCATGGCAGTATCCGTAAAAATTATGTTTGAAATAATCTCAGCAATTAAAATTTGGTTAAGTTCAAAATCTCACCCCTCAAACTAGTTCGAGCTTGTTTAGGGAAATAAAAAAAATCAACACAAAAAATATATACAGTTTAAAAATAAATTACACTAAAAGTCTGTCCAATCCAGTTCCGGTGTTTGTTTGTGTATGATAAGGTCATGAGATATTTGGTGTGAATAGCGTTCACATTATGAAAAGTTCATAAATGTTTGTGTATTTGTATTCTGTTGTTGTTAGAATGGTATAAAAATAATGCCTTTAGCCACTACGTACGTAAATGTAAATCGTTTTTGTTTATTAGAAAACTAATAGTACATATGAGTAAAATAATCTAATCGAAATATATGTAGATTCAGTTTCATCACATAGTTAACTATGATTTTCGATTAACGATTGTTGTAGGTAAATCTAAAAGTAATGAGTAAATAGGCGCCTATTTTGTTGGAATCAAGCTTCTGATGGTATAGATGGGGTGAATGTTACAATCCAGCTACCTGCTTGTTAATCAACAGTTGCCATGGCTTAACTCACTGTATATCATCTATTGATAATGTACTGACTCACTCATATATAAAAAGCTTCAGCTGATAGTCTTTCCTTATGAGCACCAAAACCTTTCTGAAGTATTGATATTCCTTTGAAGTGGATCTTGTATCCTGTCTCGAGTGAGCATGGTGCTCTTAATAATCTATTCTGAAGCTTTTAAGTTCTGGCGAATTAAGAATATGTTTCAAGCATTGACTGTGTTTCTTCACCTTGACATTCAATTGTGTTGATGTCTCTCATATATACAGTATTACACCTATGACACCTAGTTTCGTAGACATAATCTTGTTACTCTTTTGGTATCGATCTGATGGTATCACTAGCTGAAAAACTTATTTATTCATCATTATGTATTCAGTAAGATTGTTATTTCACTAATCAAAGAACTAATCAAATTCTCTATAGAGTTTATGTAACATTATTTATTGTTGTTCCTTTAATTTACTCGGTTATTTATGAGTAGTAGTTTAGTTTGCATAAGCTTTTATAGCTTTTCCTGAAACTTATTTGTTAATGTGATTTTGAGTTTCGCTGATGAATTTTATTCTATTTTCACATCACCAGGGTCTTGTTATACTTCATATTCTTATTGGACCATTACCTTATACCAATTCAACTGAAATATCATCATTGATATCTGAAGTGTTGGACGGTCTGAAAACAACTCAACCTGTTTTTAGAGACTTTCTGCAAACATGTTTATCTGCTAATCATAATGATCATACTACATCCGTTGTTGATTATTTAATGTCACATCAATTCTTGCATGACTCTATTCCTTGTAATTTTTTGTCAACGAAATTAACCAAAATAGAATTAAATTCAAGTACAATGACTAGAACATCAAAGCAGATCAATACTTTAAACAATCTTGGTAAGTATACAAGTTAGTAAGTTTCTTATGGTTTGTAATAGATTTGTATCTTCTCAGTTGAGTTATTTGATTCATTCACAATGTATAATATGTATAAGCTCTCATTTTTAATTACTTTATTCTATTTCCATAATATAAAATATGCATGAATTGTGGCGAAGTGTGTGCCAAAATTTCCTATGATGAATATCTTTTTTCAGCGACCAAAATAAAATTATTTTAGTAGAAATAAACAATCTGCTCAAATTGTAGAGTTAAAAATATATTCCTTAAATGATTGTAGTGCTTCACAGAATACTGCTTTCTCGTGTTTCAGACATTTCTCTGGACAAGCATCTTTGTTAACGGAAGTGTGAATTTTTACGTTAGTAGTGTTTATCTGGATTTTCTCGTTCTCCAGTGCCATCTGCTTGTCGAAAATTTGCAAACTATTGTAAGTTCAGAACATAAAATCGGTTATGAATCACTATAACGTTTCCTGCTTGAATATCTGGACTACCTGTTCCTGCCATCTAGATATTTCAACAAGTTACCTGTTTTTGCGCGTTCATGAAAAGCTTACAACTATTCACTGTACAGCTTACACAAAAGTACATTCAGAGACATCGTGTTAGATGGTAATATGCATTGAAAATAATGTACATTATTCACATGTTGATTTCTGAACTGCTAACATCTAACTGATGATCACTAATTAATAAGGTGAACTGTCTTCATTTTCTACCATGTCTAAACATGTGTAATCACAATTCAGGAATCCTGACTAAATGATTTACAAGACCATTGCTCAGTATCACTATAAGATTCCAATATTTATCGTCAGAATTGATCAAGCAGTAAGAAAAGGAAACTTGTTGAATTGCTTTGAATAAACCCATTAGTTATTAACAATGATAATAGTACTATCTAAATAATAATATCATCTATAGAATCGTTTTATTTGCATCATGCTAATAAGAAATTTCTGCTTTTGTATGGCAACTCAATCAATAATTATAGACTCACGTACTCGATTATGAAATGCATTTGTTCTAGAACTTAATATTACCTAATTGCTGAAATAGAATCTGATCAACCTTCAGCTTAATAATTGTTATTAATCAGATGCATGAACTACTGCATCAACACTATTCCTTTGCTATCTACAACAATTTATCGAAAACAGAAAAAATAGACTAACTCGTTTGTTTGAGATTTTTATCATCATTCTATTGAAACTATGACAAATAATTCCACTTGTTAAATGGAATTTATCATTAGTTACTGACAGAATGGCTTACTTTTCGTTTATTATCTCCTATTTTCAGTGTTGGTTAGACTAATTCTATTGCATTTTGAATAGATTAGGTTTTTTGAGTTTCCAATGTATACCACTCACTTTTCATATGATTATAATGTGTATGACCTCACAACTTCTCAAGCTTTTGAGTAAATAATTGTGAAATCTATTTTTTTTCATTTCTCACTGGTTTATTGATTTTTCTTTCGTAGATGTACAAACTGTTGAAGGGAATGCAACTTCTAAATGCCCTCGATTATTTGAGGATTTTACTGATTTTGTTCTAATTGGAAAAGGTGGTTTCGGTTGTGTACTAAAGGTATTGTTACACTATTTTCACCAAACGTTTGAATTTTTACATGTTTTCTCGATAGATTTATGCATATATGTGTGAAGTATTAACAGTTTTGCGTGAAACAGTAGTTAAAACATTTTCATTTATATAAAGTATATTAAACATGTTATGTTTTTGTTTATCCATATATTTAGTTTATAAATTAAGTCCATTGACTACCTTTCACCTCATTTGTCTAATTTTGTAATGAAGTTTGTCACGTTTGAATATAATTGCACTGTATATACATGTTGTTGTAAAAAGACGTAACTCTTTCAGTATCAGTGGCATATTTAAAAAAAGCATTTTATGTTCTGTGTGTCTGAAAATACGCGACATATTTTCAAGCTATTTACGTTAAATAGTTTTTGAAAAATACGCGGATTATTTGGAAAATAGTTCTCGTTTTAAAATCATAGTTTTGATTAGCTATCCGCTTTTGTTCGTTACTAATAAGCAAAATATTATGGTTTTTATCGGTGCCCGACTCATGTACATGGCATAAACCCCGAAATGCTATGTCTACGCCCATATAGCCACTGCTAGAGAAGTCCTAATCAGTGCCTTCTCTCGGCTTGGGTGTTGTTTACGGAAATAAGAAGACGAAAATCGAGTGTTTGCGGCATAATTCAGATTAGTTGGTACGGAGGGTCCGCCTAGAGCGGTTAGAAGACCTTGATTATTAAAAATAATCCTCATTGACTCCATAGTTCTAAAGGAACGAATGACTTGTAAACCTGTTTCGGCAACCGGGTTCCATAACACTGCATCTCCTGACGTTTCTCCACTGTCTTGTGAACTAGATCTCCAATGCAAATGACATAGAGTGGCCCCCTAAGAATACCATCTGCTTCTGAATAAGTACCTGGACAGTATTGGGAGCCGCATACAAATATGTTTATTAGTAAAGAAAATATTCTCATTCGCCCTCGTTGTACGTACAGGAAACTGTAATACGTCTGGAACAAATTGATATTTAATTTAATACTTTTATCTATATTATCTATTGTAATGCACCCAGTTTGTCGACTGTCTATTTGATCTAAAATGATACAGTTCTGATTTTGAAATGTTTTTTTTTTAATGATAAAGGCGCGGAATATAATCGAAGACCGTGATTATGCTATCAAATGTGTGAGAGCATCTAAAAGTCAAACAAATACATTATTTCGTGAAATTCGTACTCTTTCAGGGTTACAACATGAAAATATAGTCAGGTAATTTTGTTTTTGTTTTGTCTGAATATTCATTTCACACACTTTTGTCAGCAAACTCGTTAGTCCAGTTTTAATAAGGATTAGATAGTACATTTATTTTACTACTCATATTACTCAATATATCTGAACGTTTCAATTATATTACATCTGAGAGTTCAGTGGTTGTCATCTATGGTATTTGATGATTGTCACTCTTTATCGCAAATTGATTGGCGTTGAATTTACATCATTGGATTTCGACTTGGTGGTTCTAATGGCCATTGGTTTATCTCGTGACAGTAAAGTTCTGGGTTCGATCTCTGCGAATTTCCATACTTAAACGAAACAAGTGTCTGACCGTCTCTGGTACCTTATTTGTTATTAATATGTGGTGAATACCATCTAAAAACATTACAGTCTTTTAACTTGATTAAGGACAAAGTCTTCATCATTATTATAATCAATATAATATGCTTGGTGTTAGGACTTGAACTTTCCTTATTGTTTTCCACACCGTTTTCTATTGATATTGTGTGTAAGTGTTGTATTCTAATGATTCTATCTCTCCTGTCGTTAATTGTTTTTATTAGCTTGTAAAAAAATTAATGTTTATCAACCACATGTTTTTAGACCGATTGATTGGACTGACTAAATATTAATTATCTTTGTTATTATTAAATATGATGCATAATTAGATGCTATTTGATAACCATTGTCAGCTCGTACAGAACGGATCCGCCGTCCACATTTTAAATGTAACCACGGAAACGAATAATTTGACGTTACTACCGTTTAACAATGAAGTACACTGTACTGCTAACAACTATCAAAGTTTCATTGTCAACGACACTGATTAACCGCCATTAAAATATTGTGCGTAGTTAATCGGTTCAGTGCATTTAACTTGTTAAAATCATCGCTTCATCAAATCGATGCCTCCAAAATAAGCAAAAATGTTCATAATTGCATATTCTTAAGAGAGGTCTTTTTAGACCTTTCAGTAGATGTCATCCTACCAATAATAAAAATGGTCAAGACCACCAGACAAATCAAGAGTGATAAAGCATTAGGACCTGGCAATATACCAGCCGAAGCAGTGAAATCAGAAATAGAAGTAACTGCAAAATGCTCCACGTTCTATTTAGGAAGATTTGGAAGGAGGAACAAGTGCTGACAGACTGGAAAAAAGGGCACCTCATCAAGATACCGAAGAAAGGAGATCTGAACAAATGTGAGAACTATACAGGCATCACATTATTGTTAGTATACTGAAAGGTTTTTAACAGTGTTGTTGAACCAGATGAAAGATTCAGTAGACGTCCAGCTTCGAGATCAACAGGTCGGAATTCGTGACGGTCAATCGTTTGCCAACTAAACTGCCACACTATCGATCACTTGTGAACTTACAGTTGAATGGGACTCGTCACTATACATAAACTTTATTGACTATGGAAGGTGTTTGACAGTGTGGATAGAACATTATGGAACCTTCTTCGACCATATGATGTACATGTGAAGATCGTCAACACAACCGGAATTCGTACGACGGACTACACTGTGACGTCGTGGATGGAGGACAGCCGACAGGTGCATTTCAAGTGACGACCGGTGTCAGACAAGACTTTCGCCCTTTTTCTTACTTCCGCTGGTCGACTGAATTGTGAAGACCTCGACATCGGAGGGGAAGAACGGAATACAATGGACAGCTTGCGTGCGACTAGACGATTTGGACTTCACAGATGACCTAGCTCCTTTATCCCATACCCACCAACAAATGCATGTGAAGATAGTCAGTGTAGCATCAGTAGGACCTAATATATACAAAGGAAAAAGCAAGATCCTCAAATACAACACAGAGAACAACAACGCAGTCACACTTGATAGAGAAGTTCTGTAAGGGGTGGAAACTTTCACGTAGTTGAGCAGCATCATCGATGAACGCGGAGGATCCGATGGAGATGTTAAGGTAATGATTGGTGTAGCAAGAATAGCATTCTTACCGTTAAAGAATGATAATAAGGTTTCAGTTGTCTAGTTGTAATACGTAAAGGTTTTCGTAAAGTCAAAGCAGATTATTAATTTTCTCATTTTATCTAATAGTTATTTGTAAGGGACTTTTGAAGATTGGTTCTATTGATACATCCTGGTTTTCAGTGGTACCTCAGATAAGATCGGTCTGGGAGAAATAGGACGTATAATGTATTAGTTTTTATCTGCAATGTTATGTTTTATGACTTTTTCCCGATTATTTAATATTAATAAATGACTCAATAAATCACTTAATTCATAGATATTTCACATCATGGCAAGATACATTCTCTGAACCACTTCCTCATAAAAATATGCCGTGTTCTGATTGGAACAAAAAATGGGATGATTCAAAATATCGTACCTGCAAAAGCACTTCTTTTTATTCCGAAGATAATGAAGGAGAAGAAGAAGAAGATAGAACTACTCATCATCTGTACAGAAACCCAATTTCGGTTAAATCTCAAAAACCTTGTCCAACTGACACACAAATAAACACTACACTTGACGAGCTAACTGATCTTGTCACAACTGGCAATAACTTCGATGAACGTATAGTTAACAATTCTTCTAGTCACATTAATGATGAATCTTGGTATATAGGAAGTGAGTGAATATGTCTTTTTCCTACTCATGCATTTTATTATTATTCAAGAATTTATAGTATTTGGTTACGTCATTTCTTATGACACACTTTTATCCATTCAAAAATAAATTGTTAGATAATATGTAATTTAAGGTGTATTTGCCGCAGTAGAACGATTAAGAATACATTCTGATTAAATAAATTTTAATTGGGAATTTGTTATTGTTTGTGTCCTTAGAAAGTTGTATAAATTTTTTGTAAGTTATTATTCTTGTTAGCTTCCATTGTATTAGTAATGTGAAAAAATTAACTTGTATTGTGTTCATGAACAGAAGTTTGACACTAAATGAAACGAAATATTTGTTCAGTTTTAGTTTTTTTTTCTTTTTGGAGAAGAAGAAGTAGATAAATGACGAGTAATCTTGATTTAAATCTTCATACGTGCGGATGATCAGTACTGGTTAGGACGTTTAAATGTTCCTGATTCTACATGTCATATCCTGCCCTATTGACGCTTCATGAGTATACGTTTTAACTCGATTATGTTAATTGATTCTTCGATACAAATATAATTCAGTCATAGTTCTAGCAAATAAATGCACAAAGTGGTTTAGTGAATATCTCTAATTCATTTATATTAACAGCATTCGTTTTGAAAGACTGATAGGACCCTGAATCTGCACTCAATCTTGGTAGTGACCAGATATAAGTAATCGAGAAGTTCGTTTATCTGGGTAACTGCTTAAGTGCTGGTAATCGCGTGAGTGATGAGATCAATCCACATATAGCGAAAGCCAGAGTGACTTATGTCAATTTGGGCCATTTTTGGCGTCTTTGTGATGTTTGTCTGACTGTAAAAGATCGAGTCTACAACGCATCAATGAGAGCAGTTTCGTGCTATGCTTGTGAAGCCTAATCTCTCTGATTTGAGGGTGTTAAACAACTCATTGTTGTCTTGGAAGGATTGCCAACATTCGATGGCAACACCGTGTTATCAATGCACATGTTTGGCAACATGTGTTCGGACATATTGACATCAATTCAATTGATGTCACTGTCTTGAAACACTGAATTCGGTGGCTTGAACATGCTCTATGAATGTCGTCCCAGAGAATTACACATCGTTCACTATTTCCAGATTCTGGGATTGGTTGGAAAAAACGCAGAGGTGGTCAGTACACGACATGGTGTACGAAAGTTATACAGGACTGGCTTCTGTTGATCGTTTACGACTCCCTGGTTAGAGTTCTGGAGCTTGTGCGATTCTGTGACGTGAGGCGTTATCAAAAATGTCTCAGAATAGAAGCCAGTTGCGATCCTTATGTAACTCTTTCTTATTCATGAAAGTGAGAGTAACTTTTTTAACGGAAACAATTTTTTCTGGTTGTATTTTTCCCAACTGAACTGCTTCTCCAATTATTATTGTTATTATTAATAATATTTCTTACTTCACTCTCGTACACTAATTCCAGTTGATTGTTGTTCCTTTTTTACTGCATTCACTTTCCTTTCTTTATTTCCTCACAACCCCATTTTTGTTTCGTGGTGCATACATATTTGGTGCCCCCCTTGTACCAGTGTTTATGTGTTCAAATAAATAAATTCATTTATCAAGTGAAAATTCATGTACTAGGCTTAAACCATGCTCTAATTGTGTTAGGATTAGCGTTACTGTCCATTTACTCAAACTGAAGACAAGCGAGTTTCGAATTCACGATTTAGTTGCTGAAATCCATACGCCCAAATCACTTAACTACTGCTCCATCGACAACATAAACTATTTCGATAATGCAATGAGAAAATGAAAGTTATCAGAATTATGTGATCCATTTGTGCAATACATTTCGTACGATCTGATCACACAATATACTTGTTAAGACATGTTTATAAAGAAAATAAAAGGTCAACTAAACAGATTAAAGGTAAGCAGCAATAAAGAATAATGAAGTACACAAAAACATTGTGATATTCACTCTGAATAATGAGTCAGTATGTTAAGGGGTAGGTTAAGTGTAAGGACAAATTGTTTTTGAACCATAAAGGGGGTTTCATTTTCCGTATGTGTTCAACCCTGGTAATACTGACCTTTTATTTTCTATATAAAAATCTCTTAAAAAGTGTATGTATGATCAGAGTTTTCGAAATGTATTGCATAAATATATCACATAATTCTAATAACTTTCGTCTTCTCATTAGATTATCGAAATTTATTAAAAAGGAGTAATTGTTTTAAACATGAACTATCTTTATATCGTTTTATAACCATTTAATTAAGTAGTAATGGAATTTAATTTTACTACTCATCAACCTCTGATAATTCTAAAGAAAAAAATTTTTTTCAGCGAAAAAGCCAACAAACATAGTTCGTAATTATTTTTTTCGAATTCCTGGAGAAAGTAGCGATGAAACTGAACATACAAATGATTATTCATCTTCACCCACTTCATTGTCATGTTCATATCTATCTTCTGACGTTTCTGATTCATCTAATCAATTTGAAGATAATCGAAAAACAAGTGATACATTCGTGAATAAAGATGTTTATGATGTTAAGTAAGTTCTGGATTATTTTAATTTTTATGTAAATACTTATCAGACCATGATGATAATATCAGCAAATGTTGAAATATTTTGTTTAGTAATTCTCTTAAAAGAATCCATTTATAATAATACTAAAGAAAAAATATAAAAATATTCATAATATTGTTTTCAAAGTATTACCCACATGATAATATGTAAATTATTGAGTATGATAGAACAATCGATAAGTACGTAAATCTAACCTGATTGTGTATTTTCTCTAAATGTATTGTAGTAGAATAAGTTTTTGCAAAAATACCAAGACTAGTTGGATCTGGGCAGTCACCAATAACCATAGTGTTTGAAAAAACTCAACTTAGTAAACTAGTTAAAGTTTCTATGCTCTGATCACTAACATACTTAATTATCTGGGCAACAAGAAAAGTTTATACGCTCTGTAACCTTACTTTTATTTTAACTTCTCTCAACGTTACATACGTAGGAATCATTGGTACACAAAATTACTTCATATTTAATTTGATTTTGAATCAACCAGGTTAAATCATTTACCTGAAATAGTTAACCGTTTTGATAAACTTAATCTATTCGCTTATTATGGCAAATGAATAATACACTAATACGTCACGTAGTTTTTATAAAAAAGATATTTCATCATTTAAATTAAATTTCAGTCAATCAGTTTTATAACGTTTCTTTTTGTTGGCTGAAGTTCTATGTAAAGAGTTGTAATAATTTTTCTCAATCACAGACGACTGTGTTGACTTGTGATATCCTTGTGTTTCAGTGAGAGATAATATATCTAGGGGGGGGGTCTGGTTTTATCTGTCGTTGATTTATGTTGTTCAGCATAATCCAATCTCATTAATCCACTCAGTAATACTTGGTTTTAATAAAGTCAACATAATTTAGGTTAAAACAGTAAGTTTCTCTAACAATTATTGGAAACACACAATTCATATATGGGATTTAGTAGTCATGACACTGTCAATCTCGTGAAAATATCGCTGAAACATTTGTTGTATTGTGGTGTGTGCTACTTACACGGACAGATATAAGTAGTATGTATCAAGATTTTGAAGTAGGATTCTTACTGACGGAAAAGGAAAATGAAGAGAAGAAGAGGAGCGAAAGCAGTCAGAGTAGCCACAAGAATAAAAGATAGTTGGAGCTTGTAGGAAACAATTCAAGGAAGATGTACAAATGATTCATTCAATCTATTGTTTTCATATTTTACAAACGTGGTGTTTGATTTCACTGAATACAATAAATTCGTTTACCCTACATGCGCTTTCGTCCATTATTTATCGATTAAATGTATACCCTTTTCCTCTTCTGTCTATTCATCATTCATCCTGCTATTTTGTCAACGGGTATTTAATTGATGAATAAGCTATGGTGATGAAGTAGTTTTTTTAAAAACTGTTACATTTCCTACTTCTGCACCAATGTAAGTTTGTAATACTGAATGTGGTATATCAGTTGTATTGTATAACTCGTATTTTTTTCATTCATAGTGATTCACAGAACAATGAGATTGGAAAGTCTGTACGAGAATATCGAGTAAGTTTTTATTTATGATTTTACGATTTTATACTCTTATGTTCTATCTGTTGATTTGATTCAGCATTCGGTTAATTTATTACTAGTTTTACATGAGAAATAACTTCTCTTTGCAAGTGTATTGAACAAAATTAGCTACTACTAATATGTCTGTGCATTAAAAATCTGTATATTTCCTATTCCTCGTAAACACTATCTGTCAGCTATTATTAACAATCCTCAATCGAAACTAAACAATATTATACACAAGAACCTTTAATGAAGTATTTCGTGTTACATAGATCACAAAATCAACTGTTTAAGGGCAGTCAAACACAATCTTTTTTACTATCAGTTTTAGACGTGCTACCTCTGCGCTTTTCAGACTTTCGCATTGGCTACGCAAATGTATGAAACAAGGTATGGTTTCCTAAGGTTAAGACCGATCTCTTCCTTCCGTTGTGAAAAGGCGGAATCTCTGAAGACACTGGTCGTTTCAAGTAATGTTTTGAAGGCTAATGTACTAAAACGATAATACTTACTTGTCTCCTATGTATTAAACTTTATGGAAGAATATTGGAGGGTTAAAGTAAAATTCGGATAAGCAATTCTACTTCTCAGTGTCACTTGGTGATCCTCCTACTGATAAGTCCGAGTTCACTGAGAGTATCATTACTGCTAGACAAGTTCTTTTATAAACTCATCTCAATTCATGTGATTTTTTATATTCCATTTCTGTTTCGTAGTATATTATCATTCAAATGGAATTATGTCCATCCAAGTCATTAAGATATGTTATTGACTTCGAAAATTTATCATGCAGTCCGGATAGAGCTTGGAGTTTATTCCGTGAATTAACAGATGGTTTGGCATATATTCATTCCAAAGGTGTTATTCATAGAGATTTGAAACCAGCCAATATAATGTTAGATTCTAATGATCATGTGAAAATTGTAGATTTTGGCTTGGCTACACGGACTACAAGAAAAACTAATGAATGCACGCCAAGCTGTTGCAGCTGAATTCCATGTAAGCATTTTTTTCTTAAAAGCATATTTCGTGCATCAACATTTTAGCGTGAATCTCATTTAGTATATAACACTGTTAAATATTTCGAATAAATTGATCGATTCATACTTATATCACAGAAATAACCCATAAAGTGGCGCTTACATTTTACACTATTAATATCACAATTTTATTTTTCTGTGGGGTTATATAATTTTACAGAATGTTATACAGAAAACACTTTTCACTGAGCGATTTGTCTTATAAACGAATCGACTTAATGTCATAATCCACTGAACGTTTTAATTATTGATTAAAATTAAAGTTATTATTCATCCACTCCTAATGTATCTATTGTAAATGACTTATTTCACCAACAAATCCATTTACTGTACTTTACATCTTGACCATTGATTAATTTTGGTGCGATGTTTATAATGTTTATTACCATTTAGCCTTCAACCATAGAATTAAAGTTCCAAAACTTGTCTCCCCTGCATTGGTTTGTGTAGTAGATTATAGTCATTAGCTTTCACATATGTAATTAAACCGGTTCTTAAATGAGTTACATTTAACTTCTAAAATTTTGCTCTGTTTTTCTTTATTCATATTTTGGTCAGAAATGTAGTAAACAAACAGAATGCTCACATTCTACACAACAAATTCCACCGGTTGGACATAAAGAAGTACCGAATTCCACAGGTCAACATGAAAATACCACGAAGTTCGACGATCATTCCATGACCCATAACGTTGGCACCTTCTTATATATAAGTCCTGAAGTTCTACTTTTGGATTCTCAAAAAAATCGTGTTTATGATGAGGTAGTTTTTTTTCACACATGGTCTCTGTATTGATTCAATTATACTAATATATAAATTAAAGAATTTCACTCATATTTACTATGTGTAAAATCCAGTGGTTAGTTGGAATGAAGCTAGGAAGGTAATTTAAATTCCTATGAAGGACTGAGTCAAGTATACAGTTGCTTTGATTATCCTAATATAGAGCTGCTAAATATATACTCACTTTACGTGGAATATAATGTTTCTACTATGTGGTGTACCACAAGTAATTCTGATGTAAAAAACCGTAATTTCATAAGTTGGTAAATGACCTACAAAATCATAATTTAATATTTATTTACATCTTAAATGTTCTGTATGTATGTCATTTTGCCATATAAAATGGCCCATATTTTACTAACAAGTTATTGCCTTCTGATATCCGTTCATTTGTGACGCTCCGTCAGTTATTCGTATTTATGACTACCGATCATTCCACCACGATCACTTTACCCGATTGGTCTCACATACCTCTCAATTCACCATTATTTATATCCGTTACATCAATCAACTGTTGTGTGAATGCATTCAAACCGTTATGCACAATTTACTTCCAGTGAACAGATCATGGTACTTTTGGCGTAGTGTGTTTAGGTTTTTAAGAGGATCGGTTGCTAATTTTATTTTACTTAACAAGGCGTTTAAAATATGTGTTACGTCTACCGTCTCATCACTACCAACCAACTAATGTCCCATTTTTTGAGGAACTATACTCGCTACCTGTCTGTGAATATGCGATAGGTTTTGATGATTGTCGACAATAATTCCTAATTACGAACGGTTGGGATATTTTCCTAATATGGAACTGGACTTATACGAAGTCCATGGACCAGACGACTGACGTACAATACTTCATCAATAATTCCCAACGCAAAGGAAGTCGAGGGGTAGTTAGGAGTTGGAGAAAAGTTTTATATACAAGAAGTCAAATTTATAATGGGATAGCTGTGTATGTATATCTAAAAATTCCTTTGGGGCAATCTAAAAGTAAAAACGACCATATAACTGCAAAGGTCAGTGCGAAAAAGTTAATATGACAAAAGTTATAGCGGCTATCCTTATACAAGAAAGCTGGCATTTATTAACAAAAACTAGCTAACCTGAGATTTTCTTAGCCCCGCGTTCTCAGATAAGTTTAGTTAAGAGCCAACAAACATTTAATCACAATTTAAACAACTGACGTTACGTTAAAATCTAAATGTGTTGTTCAATGTACTTGACTTTTTAAACGTATTATCTTTTACAACTGTAATGTCGGTTTGCTATATTAAGCCCATATTGCTTATTCTAGCTTCCGGACAGGCCAATTCATTCTTCAGTCACATTTTGACCTTGTTAATTATTCCCTTGTCAACCTTGACTATTTTTATGCAAGTGTATGTATATGAATTTCTTATCTTACTCATCACATGTCTGTAACTTATTTTTGTTCGACTATAAATATCGATTCACATTTGGTTAAATCTAGTTGGCTTGCACGCCTTTTCCATCGTGCATCATTCCGTTTTGCTTTGTTTCTTCGATAATCTATGTGGATCAACAGTCGTATGGAATATACGCATTCAAAATTCATTCTCATACTTCACTTATTTAATCCCGTTATTCACTAACGCAAGTTAAGTCGATAATTATATACGAGGATTGGCGATATGCATATTTTAATAACAATCATCCTACGATCTAATTGGAGTTAGATTTAAGGCCACCAAACAACAGAGTACATTCAAGACACATGTAAACCTTTTAGTCGTTGTACTTTTCCCTATATGTTTTCATAGTTTAGTCTATGTATATTAACTTTTGCTTTGCGTTGTCCGCACATTTTTCCAATTATCCCAAAAACTAGCGGGTTGATATCTACAGTTTGGGTATTATTCTTTTCGAAATGTTTTATCGTGCTATGCCAACTGCAATGGAACGTGTTTTGATTCTTACTGAATTAAGAAAAGAAAAGATTATCTTTCCAAAAGATTGGTCTCAAGATGAACTTGTCAATCAGACTTGGTTAATTCGTACTATGCTACAACATGATCCATCTAAAAGGCCAAGTGCCTCGGTATGTTCTACAATTTCTCATAATGACTACTTACCTCACTTTTTGCATATAAACGTAATGATGTTAACCTAATGTAAATCGCGCTTCCATTGATAGTTTGCGATTAAATCTCTAACTTAAGTGTTGGAAATGCTACGTGACATATTTTTGTTTTACATCTATAGACATTAAACATAAGAGACTGGTCCAACAAAGATTTTTGTTTGGGAGATCTTCCAATTTGAAATTGCTGAATGTGTATCACGTTTAAATGCGATATTCACATGCTTTATGATAGTTGGCTCCTCGTTCTGTGTGAAATTTCTGTGAATGGATATTCTTTGAGTGTTGTTATGAAAACAAACTAGAAATAACAATCTGGTTATACCTAATCAATGACTGAAAATAAGCATTATGAAATACTCAAAAGTGACCCAGAAACTAGATATGAATGATGAGTTGCATAATATAATAAGTTTAAGAGTGACGTATGGTCAACAAGGCCACGTAATGAAGAATAAATCGTTAAAATCATCAGTCGATCTGAGTCAGATCAACATTTCAGACCTGGATGCATTAGACAGCTGTTTTGTCCTAGTATAGGAATCCTCAGCAGTGTGAACCCACGAACCGGTTCAGTGGTTTAAAGGCTAGGCGTTCACGTGCGAGACCGAATATCCTGGGTTCGGTTTTCGTGTGCGGTATCGTAGATGCGTACTGATGAGGTTTTCAGTGGTGGTCTTACTTAGTAGGGTTCATGATCTCAGTGAAATGCAATCTCCACGACCCTATACTGAAAAGAATAAATCAGTTTGCGTTAAACATTTAGAAGACGACGAAGCAAAGATAAAGTTAAAAAGAGAAGAAAATATGTATTACTGCGTTCTCTTCATTAAATCTCTTTTAATGTGTCACAATAAGTGCTTTCTTTATGTACGTTTTCGTAGATTATGCACAATTTCTTAAAATTTTCAGTGGGAATTCATCTTGACTTTTTTTGTACATTCATGTTTTCTAATTTTTATAGGACCTACTAACTTCTTCACGTGTCCCACCATTTAAGTCTACTGAAGCAGCATTTAAAAAGCAACTTATTGAGATTTGTAAAACTCCTGACAGCAATTTATACCGTTTTGTTACGCATACTCTTTTTTCTCAAGCTTGTTCAGGCGCATCAGTAAGTCCGGTATTGACAGAAATTTTTTTCCCTATAATAAAAAGAAAGAATATTTAAACTAAGCCGATTGAACATGTCTACATTTCACCACATTTTTAACCTGATTCACCAAATATTCCAAACATTGATTCGAATTCCATAAAATATCAGTTTTTACCTCGTGTTATATTCCTTCAGTATTCCACTTTTCACTTATTTCTCATTTCCTTAGGATTTACTATACGATTGTAATACATGGATAACTTCCGTTCAACAAGATATCAGTCAAATTGATGGGAGTTTTTTATCACAATTATTAACTAAAGATTGCTTTATGCAAGACGATCCAAATCGTGTATTATTTAATTTTCTTAAAACACGCAGGTAAGAGGTAAGGTTATATATACATATAGTATGACATCATTTTTCTGCATACTATTATTATTGTTTTCACACGGATAAAACTCAACACACATGAAGTTTGAGGCTCTCGTACTCTATCTCTTACCATGTTGCTTACAACAAGAATAATTGTAAGACAGACAAACTCATCAATATATTTCTCACAAAAGTGTATTAGTTTAAAAATATGAAGAAATGAAGTTATTGAAAAAGAAAAGTGTTCCAAATAAAGAAACAAGAAAGAAATAAGCGTTTCGAAGTGTTTAAGATGTGAAAAGATTTAATCTTCCAATCTTTTACTATGTGTAGCACCTGGATTACAGTTACATTTATCCATTTATATTTCGGTGCTCCAATCCATCCTATGTGACTACTATATGTAATTTACTATAAAAAAATATACCTTATCTTTCCAAAAAGTACGCAACATTGACGGTGTTGTTCCATTGTAAGCTTCTTCTGGAAGAACAGATAGTGAATATTGCCTCTTGCTTGAATGTTCTGAAGTGACTGAGAGATCGTATGGAATCTAATTACTGGTGAACATCTGTTCCATAACGACAATGTACCTTCATATTAATCAGTGTATGTGTACAAGTGTCTAGTCCGTAATTTCCTCATCACACTGGATCAAACACTTTAATTTCCGGATTTCTTTTCGTTCTCGTAATGCAAATTAGTCATTTGGAGGTAGCACTAAGCCAATGTGATACCCGTCACAAATCAATGAATAATCAGAAACATTGAATAACGTAGTTTTCTTTTTAATTCATTTTGTATTATTCGTTGGAATTTTCACATTAATGTTTAGGACTGCAATTGGTCAGTCTTTTATTGGTATATGTGCATCCTATACGGATTGGCTCGATATTGCCTTAAGTCACAAGCATTGTAGGCAAAGATCTACTTCATCTATTAAAATGTATCAGTAGATAGTTCTTAAATATATAGAAACACTGGTCATTTTATCTATCATTAAAATTTTTAAAAATATAACGAATTAATAACCTGTTTTAAATAAATTTGTAAAAATAGATGAAAGATGTATGTTTGTCATCGTATCTTACTAGGTCATTTGATTTTATTTGTTTGCTTCACCACCAAAACTACTGTCATACGATTGACTTTAACTCAGCCTTTGTAGTTTTATACATAGTTTGTAGGCAAAACTTAGTTATGTCAAAATCTATGCCGTACAAAACTTGACCCCCATGTGTATTCAGTGATAATTTATACTCACATTAAACATATCATGGTTGTATTTGTTTATTTAGTCAGTTATTTAATTCACATTATTATTATCTTTGTTTTACTGTTATTTTTCAGTTTTTGATTGAGATCATGTCTAGTTGACCTTTACTTTTTTTTTCATATATGAATGGCTTAACAGGTAAATGTGCAATCAGGTTGCGCTAAAATATCACATAGTTCTTATAACTTTCGTCTTGTCACTTCACTTGGTATTGTTTACTTGAATCTTCTCATTGATGCTTAGGACTGCAATTGATCAGTTTCTATTGGCATATGTACATACTGTGCGTATTACCTCTCTGATGAGTCCCAAATAGACCGAAACGTGCGTCCTGGATTCCACTGCTATCCACTATCCATCTTTGCTTATAGTGCTTGTGAATTAAGGCAATATCGAGGCAATACAAACATTATGCATATATGCCGATAGAAACTGATCAATTTCAGTCCTAAAAATCAATGTGTAGGCTCAAGTAAACAATGTCAAGTGGATTTAAACTTCACCCCATTACACAAGCAAGTGACTATCAGGACTCAGTAGCTTAGTGAGTAACGCGATGGCGTTTGAAGCGAACGGTACTGGGTTCGAGTCCCAAATAGGATGAAACGTGCGTCCTGGATTCCACTGCTAGCCAATATCCATCTTTGTTTTCTCACTTTAAATTAATGAGAGGGTTAATTTACTTGATTATAGCACAAATATGACAATAATATATTCAATTAGTTTTTCTCGATGACATAATTTGGTATTAACATTCAGCATGTATTTTAGTCAATAATAACATTTTTCGTTAATATTTTCATTGTATTTATATACCTTAATATTCCGTACACTTAAAACGAATAATTTTGAAAAATAATTTTTAAACAGATTTATTACACATATTGTGGAGACTTCATTCATTGCACACAGTGGTGTACTGTTGGAATCCCCTACACTTGTCCCAGTTATTCATAGACCTTATCAAACATCATGGTTTGGCCAATCAAAACAGGATAACAATGATTTGTTTGATGTGAATGATAATCAAAATGCTGAGTTTTGGGATCGTTTATCAGCTGCTCCTGTTTTACTAGATGAAAATGGTTTGCCCGTTCGTTTGCCTGATTCATTACATATACCATTTGCACGTTATCTGGCTCGATCAGGATCAGTTTTACTTGAAAACAGAAATGAATCAGATCCACTGAAGCGATATGAATTTGCACGAACTTACCACAGTTCTTCAGTTTCAAATTCAAGTGGACCGCATATGTTATTTGGTTGTCCAGTAGAAGTTAATCGAGCAACGTTTGATATTGTTTCTCTAGAAAACAGGTAGGTTTGTTATTTTTGCCATTATTTTCATCATTATCATCTCTGACTCACGAAGTAAAACTTCTGTTCAACAGTAATCCACGCCGTTCATTTCAGTAATCATAGGATCTGCTAAATTCTTACGTTAAAACGTTTGTAACATTTGGTCGGACTGGTCATTATAATATGCTTGTGTTATTTCATTGTATAATATGAATGCAGTCAGTTTCCTTTCGAAATAATAGTAAAAATTATTGAGACGATCAACAGTTGAATACGAAGCATAATAAACTATAGTTAACAATTTTAGGTGTATCATGTCATGTTAACTTATATTCACATGGGACCATTAGGGAGAAATATTTCATCCTAGTTGGAGATTCTTCAGCATTCCACACCGACTCTTCTAAGGATCTAAACCACAACATTCTGGTCTAACAACGACCTGGTCAACTGAGGTGGTTGGGACATATATTACGTATACCCGTCCTCTGAATACCTCGACGATGCCTAATGTAGGAGTAGGTTAGAAGGAAGTTAAATGTGGCCAAACCAATACATGCCATCAGTCCATAAAGTCATTGACAATTAGACCTTTGCCATGTTATCAGGTGTAGACTACCTGGCTGGGGTCAGTATAATTATCGTAACTAATGGTTAGAGACTTTGGATGACATGACTCCAAATGGTTCGCAATGACGTGGGTGCATTCATTCTCTATCTTCCTCCAAATTCTAAGCTTCTGAATTACCTATAACTGTTCTTGTGCTTTTATTTTACAAATTTATGTTTTCTTGAGTTGTATCTTCAATCATTAATCTTTCTTATCATCACTTATACTTTTACGACTTCTACTATTCTGGGACTTGATCTGATAATTTAGTCTCTGTGTGCTAATAGGGTACGACAACTTGAACCGATGTACATACGTACCAGGTTTTACGTTGGAACTGACTGACTGACAGTACAGTCCTAACTAATTCAAAAATGTTTTATCAACGATGTGCAACTTGAAAAGTGCTACAAGTACCCACATGAATTGTATCACAATCTGCCCCACTCTAATCCACATACTTATACACATAATATCTACTTCACGAATATGTGACAGTTGTACAGTGCTGGGACTTGTTCATATGTATTCTTTCATAGTTTCATCGAACATTCTACTTCACTATAGAAATGTGTAGGTCACAAATAATCTGAAGGGGTTAGGCATCATAAATCTGCGAAACGTTAGAAATTCTTTTCCCATTCATTTATGATACAAAAACTTTCCAATTCTCAATTTATGCAATTTTTTTTCATGTATTGCTAATGATACCTGATTTTTGTGGGTTTTTTTATCGCACATTCCTTTTCGTGTTTAAACTTATGTTCTACTTTCTATTTTCAAAGCACTTACTGGGCCACGGAATTGTTTGTCATCTTGCGTGAAGTAACGAATAAACTGTTTCAGTCCAAAGTATGTGATTAAATATGACTCATTCGTATTTTTAGTTTATTATCCTTTTAAGTTGATCGGTTCGTACAATGTTGATACCTGCAACCGAATATGTTTCTCAGCACTATGAAGTATCTATAATTTCCATTTCTAAAATTTGTCAACAAAACGAACACATGTTTTCATGGTTTAAATGTAAACCAATGATACACTCCGAACGGCACGATTGACCTTGAGTCAGGGCCGAGATAATCTTGTCAGGATGCAGTCCCTATGTGTTCGCTTGCTCGATAGTCAGAATAGAACGAAGATACAGAATGTAGATAACTTATCTTCGTTCAGTTCAGTATAAAACTCAATTCTCATGTGACCTAGAGGTCTAATTCACAAGGCAATCGAGCAACGTTAGGAGATGCGGTCATATGGTGGCCGTTGGCAAATAATAGGTACACACATCATTTGTTCCCACAGGGTCCTGAAGCCTATGTGCACCACTGGTCTGGAATCAGGGTTTTCTAACTACCCTGGTTGGATCCTCCGTAACCGTCAACCCGGTTTAAGCGCCAGTTATCCTCCTTTTATCCTCTCAATTTCTCAAACAACTCCCCGCTGCGAGTAAGCAGTGGGTATATATGCGTGGCCATATGAAAGTATTTCGTAAGGGAGAGCGAGCTTTTCCACCCTCTAGCCACACTAAGGCACATAGGACATCTAAACATGCTCTTCAACTATACATGTGAAAGTACTTTGTTGCTGTTATCCATTCTGGCCTTGAGGTGCTAATGGATTCAGTACGTAAAGATATCCTTTCAATAAATTTAATCATCGAATGTCAAGAAGCAGCCTATTCCTTTCCAGTTCGTTTATTCAGATTGTTAGGATAAAGACCTGACTTCCATGGTCTCAAAATTTTCTTAGATGTGAATGATTTCAAACAATTCTATCCTAGTCATGATAATTTGTAGTTAAGAAAACACCTACAGTGTTCTGTATTAAAGGGTTACTCATATGATCTCAAATTAACTGGAATTGAACAATCCAGTACGAGAAAAGGTGTATATTACTTCATGTTCTCACTAGCTCTACATTTGGTATGGTAAGAAATATCTTAGAATTAGTTTAGTAACATTGGTGAACATTCGTTCAACAGTGGATTGATCAGTTCAAGTTAATGCAAAAAATATCTCTTGGTTTTATGTCATCGCTTCCATTTTTATTTTCTGTACTGAACTTTTCGAAAGGAAATATCATTTTTCCTGTATGTGAATCATACCAACCTGATCAAAGCACTATTCAAACTAGCTGGAATTCAATCTGGATCACGTGCAACTGTTTGGCGTCATTTATCTGAAGCAAATGCTGATCCAAAACCTGTTAACCCATCTACATACTCATCCTTCTTTTCATCAGTCAATTGTTCTACCACATATTGTGCAACAGCATCTTACTCTTCATCTTCTAATTCTTCACTATCCGGATCATCACGGTTGAATGAACCAACGCGTTCGCTTATTTTACCTGAATATTTAACAAGTAAACCTCGTGGACATGCACAAAAGCGTTTTATGAAAATAATTCGTCTAGAATCTTCACATATTCACTATATACGTGAAGCATTTATTCAACATTCCGCTCAGCAATGTCATTCAGTTAGTAAATTAGTAGATGGTGCTGTGAAATTATTGGAAGAGTTGACAGATATTTACACTAAATTTGATTGGTCAGAAAGGTTTCATGTATGTTATGACTGTCACAAATGTTTTGTCAGTTAGTTTTACTAATATATATCTCAATTTCTAGATAATAAACCAGTTTTAAAAAGACATCATTTTAAGCCGTCAATTTTATATTTCTTCTAAAAACTCACTGAGTCATCTAAATACTTTTTTCTACAATTACAAGATCATACGCTTATAAATCTATCCAAACTAATCATATTTATGAAACATTGCTAAACTAACATAATAGATAAGTGTACCCTTTATTAGTTGACAGATTACTATAAAGAATTGTTTTGCGTTTGTTCCAATCAAAATATAAGGAACAGATTTTAATAATTTAATAATTGAATTCATAAGTCGATTTAAACTAGATCACCCTGGAAAACCTGGAAGCACTTGATAGCCATTTCGTTCTGGTATGGGAATTGCTTTTGTATCTATCTTTATGAGATAGTTTTATTTCTCGCAAATGAATCACTGATCAGTAGTTTTTAAAATCATTTTTGATAATAGGGGGTTATAGAAGTAATACTACTTAATTTTACGTTCTACTATATTCATAAAAATATTCAAGGTACTGCATCTCCATATTAGCCCTTAAACTTTTCAACATATTTGCTACTTTTATTGGTCAGTTGTTCCATTCGTTCATTACTTTCATCGATAGTTACATATATTGATTAAATCAAAAACAGTTCATCTGAAATTGTTTACTTAAATAATTGTAAGATTTCCAGTTCTGATAGACGCAAGAGTTATATGCAGCACAAAGCTTTAATGAACATTGACATGTTTGTTTACTCGATCGTTTCAATGTTCAACCTTACTACACTTGGAGCAAGAAAAATGTTTCCTTTCTAATTTCCACCCATCATTTTGTTTTTGCTTCTTAGCTTCGATTCACCCCTGGATTAGTTCTTCCACATCATATGTACAATGGTTTAATTTTTCAGTTGGTTGCATTGGGTGATTTATCCCCTAAATCAGCCATGCCAAGTTCCTCTACCTCCATCGGTTATCCACGACATCTTGAAGATTCGTCAATAAAAGTGAATTCCAAAACCAATATCAATATAGCTTCATCACGAATAAATGACACATCTCCGATATTGTATGTTTTAGGTCAAGGAGGCGAATATAACCATTTAATTGCTAAACACTGTGTACCGAAGGAATTCTGTACCATTCGGTAAGAGAATAAACAGTTATTCAATTTTCTTAAACTTTTATATCATACTGTTGATGTAAATGGATTACAATACATAAAAGTACACATGGACAACGAATGGTTTGTTCATAGTTCAGTGATAACTGTGATATTATCCACCGCCGACTTCAGTCGATGATTTCTTTATGTGAAAACTCCATCTCTCAACTTAATCACTCTAGTTTGTAGTGAATCTAGGAAGCGTGAATTGTAGCAAAGTTGAGTAGCCATAGAAAAAACTCTATTCTCAAAACATTGTGTTAGATATAGTGGTTGTTTTCAGTGTTAATTTCTCTGTTTTTATGTTTCTTAAGGGATTCATTTGAAAGCAAACTACTAAGATAATTTTTAATTAATGAATTCCGCTGAAATCATGAACCGATCAGTGTTAGACCACCGTTGAAAGCCAGGAAGCACTGAAAATCCGTTTCGTCTTAGGTTTCCACTTGTGGTTTAACCGTGATCGGTTCATGATTTCACTGAAATTCAACAATCCCCACCACCCCTTACTAATAGTGAATTATCTGATTGGTTCTACCGGCATCATTGCATTAATACACAAATATAGATAAAAGAATACTTCAGTAATTGTTCATTTTTTTCTTTTTATGCTATTGGTAAACGTTTTCTTTCCATTATGTATAGACTACCAAGAAAAATATCCCGATGTAATTCTGCGTCTAATAATCTGGGTATGACTGCATTGACCATAGATAAGTGCCCTTATGCTATTGGTTTAAGTTTTGATATGGATAGATTAGTACATTGTTACATGACTTCGTTCTGCAAAAACACTATACAGATTTCGTATAATTTGGTAAGTTACTTGAAAAGTTATACATTTGTTCTTTATCCGAATAAATTCCCACTTAGTTTCATACTTCTGGCTAACAGTTTAATAGTTATGAATCGCATCTCACACTGAGTAACCAGTCATATAGATATCAATAACAATTATTTACTTTTCCCTACTTTTTTTTCGATAGATTTATCATTTATTAATTTTACTGAGTGACAGTAGTACTTTTATGTTACATATATTTCATGAGGTCCAATTTCTCCATTTTCGAGAACACAACCGACATTTAAAATAGATTATTCATGAGTGAATGTTTGTTTAATCAGAAATGTATCTATCCATTCAAACATTTATACTAGTAAATGACTATTCACTTACTTTATGTTTTTGACTCCTGTTGTGATTTCGAATTTTGGTAAACTCATTTGTCAGCCTAACATATAATAGAATCGCTTCATGCATGCTAAGGCGTGTTAGTTTTATACTTTGCCATTTGTTAATTGAGTAGCTGATACTTCCATCCAGTTAGGATTATTTGTATTTATTTTCTATTCTCCTAAGATTTCCATTCAGTAATTTTAATATGATTTATGCTAAGTTTATTTGTACAAAAACCCATGAAGTGTGTAAGTGTAGTTGCTTGTGTACTAGTTTGTACTGTTTATACTTTCAATTAGGCTTTGAGGTTATCAAAATAAACAGTGATATGAATTTTGCACTTACAAAAGTAATTTTAAGATTTATCGAGATATTTTATTCCAGTTCATCTGTGAATTGATTTAAATATCTCAAGTTAAAATGGATCTTTTGAAATGAGTTATCAGTTCGAAAATTCTATTGAGCAAATTACTGTTTAAAATGTTTCGTTTGCTAAATTTTTCTTATGGTCGACTGACTTATTTAAATCATTTATTCTATCAACCTACACTTTTTATGGTTTCAACAAGAATAATAGCATATAGTCTATTAATATTAACTATTTTATATTGGAAAGCTTGGTATGAATAACGTAGCTCTTCCAAAACACCCGTTAATTATCCTTAAGCTGATTTCTTGTATACTATTTATTCCTTCCATATCAAAATCATAGTTTTATTATCGATTACATTTCAGCATGATTGTATTATATTCAATCCTAAATGGCGCATATTACTTGGATGGGAATCACGTACTGTTGAAACTCTTCATGATTTATATACTTGCCCATTTCGTAACCCTACGACTCACACTCGTCGATCCGGTCTAGGATCTAGTCAACGTTCATCGAGTGAATGTAGTACTAACACTTCGACTAATGCTATGAATACGATGTCACCTCCAAATAATTGTGCATCTGATTTTTCAAACTCTGCTAACAATATAACATTGCCTTACACTAGTGCCTCGGGTTCTCCGAACCCAACTTCATCATCTGAATCATTTGTACTGACCCAGAATGTTTTAAAATTAGCATTTCATTTAGCTCAAATATTTTGGAATTTAAGTTGGACATGTGATTTGTTAACAAAATCAGATTCGGTAAGTGAATTTAACCAACTATTCACTTTTTTCCACTTGAGAAAAAAGATGGCAGTTCAACGGAGAAAATTTTCTTTTCGATGGTTTCATTTGCTTAAGCCGTACAATCGTATTTATAGTTAATTTTACTTGCTAAAATAGTTTATATTAAAATCCAATGGTATTGAATATCTAGAAAAAATTGAAGTGGTATCCTGTTATGAATTGTTTACTAAAATCAGATATTAAAAGGAAGTTATGTGAGATGTTGTAAAGTGAACATAATTCTTCAATTGATAGCTATTAAGAACAGAATAGTTAAAAGTTGTAATATTGGCTAATTAATATTTGTGAAAATAATTGGAGAGAAGTTGAGATAGCAATTATATATATAAAGAAGATAGGAAGGAAGGTTAAGACCATGAAAGGATGTCGGACTGAATATACTGTTTTTGTACGGAAAAGTTAAGCTTAAACTGGTGTTTCATTTGCATTCCTCTTGAGTCGATTCTTCTAACTGTATGTATAATTTCGAAGGAGACTTCTGGTGAAGCAGAGTGACCGGAATTGACTAGATGCTCGAGGATTGAACTTCTGATTAACTTCTGTAATCCTTTAAAAAGGCAGGCAGAGTAATGTTCGGAGATGCGCTTCGACTACACAGCTTAAATATGTGAAATCGTGAAAAAGAAAATTTTCTTCACTGAATCCGCTTCTTTCTTCAATGACACAATGGATCTTTTACATTTATTTGTAGATATTTCCATTCATAAAAGGTTTCCGATAATATTCATCACTGTCACAAATTGCTACTGTTTTATTGTATATTCTATATGCTAATATGAACAGATAGAATGCTAAGGGAAATAAAGATAATAATAAGGTATATAATGTTAAAACCATACTCAATAATAAATTAATATTACCAGAGTAGGTTAAAGTTAAGAACAAACTGTTTTCAATACTTTTGTATAACCAAAGCTTCAATAAACCTTAGTATACGTCCTTGAACACCTTATATAACACTACACTTCTACATTTAAATTTATTAAGTATCAAGATTTATCACTAGTATCACTTATTTTCTATTATTCGATTAAATGATTAAGTAAAGCTGTTTTAATATTTCTTCTCCTTATAGTTTCTGTCTTATAGGAGTCTGGAAATATTTTAGAAAGTCAATATTTCACGAGTCCTAAGTACAAGGTTTATTACTTACTTATTTACGCCTGTTACCCCTCGTGGAGGAGCATAGGCAGCCCACCAGTATTCTCCATTCAACTCTGTCCTGAGCAATCCTTTCCAGTTGCTGTTCATCATTTTGATGTCTGCTTCCAATTTCCGAAGCAGTTTGTCCCTTGATCTCCCTCTTTTCCGTTTTCCTTCAGGATTCGAAGCTAGTGCTTGCCTCGTGATGCAGTTGGGTGATTTCCGTAATGTATGTCCTATTCACTTCCAGAATCTTTCCTAACGTCCTCCTCATCTGGAAGCTGCTTTGTTCTCTCCCACAATAGGCTGTTGCTGATGGTATCCGACCAACGGTCATTGAGTATCTTATGTAGACAATTGTTTATAAATATATGTACTTGTTTGATGATAGTTGTGGTAGTTCTCGAAGTTTCATCTCCGTACGTTAGAACTGTCTTGACGATCGTATTGATGATTCTGATTTTAATGTTGATTTGCCGACAGTTGTTTTGAGTTACATATGTTCTTCAATTGTAGGAATGCGGCCTTTACTTTTCCAATCCAGCTTGTACTTCTGCATCGGATTCTCCTTGTTCATCGATAATGCTGCTCAATTACGTTAAAGTTTCCACCTGTCCCAGAGTTTCTCCATCAAGTGCGATCAGGCTGGTGTTCTCTGTGTTCTATTTAAAGATCTTAGTCTTTCCCTTTTGTATGTTGAGGTCTACTGATGTAGAGGCAGAGGGCGTATCAGCGAACATCATAATCTATGAACGGTCAGCTTGGATGATATGGCTCAAAATTCGTCGATTTCTTACAGATGCATTCTTTCTTCATAATCCTCTTTATTTTGTATTTTAATATTCCCTTATATTTATTATCCTTCGAGATTGCATTTGTTCTTTTCAAACTACATTCACAATGTACTGTTTTTACTTGCAATTGACTGGCCAGTCTAGTTTTTGTCAAGTAATTCTTAGTGGAGATCGAATATTATCGATCAATTTGTGATGTGGCTACTAGTCTAGGTGACTATAAATCGCGTGCACTATGTTGTTGATGTATAATAGTGGTTGGAGGTGGTTGACAGTAAACCCTGGACCTAGGTTCCGTGCTGCATGGCATTCATCAGCAAAGTGTACTTGTAATCTTGAGGAAACTGATGCGCATTGAGGGATTCGATCCCATGTCAATTATAAATACATCTTAGTCGCGGCCCGGATAACCCAATTGTCTTAGACTGTGAAGTTGGGTGAAACGGGATCAAATTCACCAAAGAATATCGGTTCCTTCAAGATTACAGACACACCTCTCTGACGAACGCCAAACTGAACGAAATCTAGGTCCAGTGTTTCTTGTCAACTATCTTCAACTTGCACCGTACGTTGTTTTCACTATCATAATCCTATTTCATTGATCTTGTTTTATTCGTTTTTCTATGCTGATGTGATAGGTGTGATAATATGGATCAATGCGTATTTCTACCAGTTTTTATAGATTCCTTGACTGTTTTGCTTACTCTGAATATCTGACTTCACTTTATTACATATACATAGCAATTATACATAATCTTCAATTATTTTAATTTTAGGACCTAGTACGTGAAGCTGAAGATCGAGAAGTAGAATTTGCTGTTCGGGTTATTTTAGTCAAATTATCCACATCCGCTGCAACCAATTTACCACTTGGATCAAAGCATTTATCCCTTGTAACTTATCAAATATGGTCTAGACATAATGCCACTCCGTTAAGTGGACAACATGTAATGGTTTTCGAATTACGACGATCTGATCCAGACTCTGTATTGAATTATTTCTATTCACGCTTCCCAACAAATGTACGTCGACCTTCAGTTGATCCTGATAAAAACTTTTTGTATATATCTTCAAAGAATTCAACAGAATTGATTCATTATTCAAAGGATTTTTTGTCACATCCTAACCCTGAAAAGACAATCATTTATTGTCCTAGATTAACAGAATCCAATATACGCATACCTGATCAGACAGATGCAAAAGAAATATCTACAAATATGTTAAATAATTTACGCCGTAGTTCTAACAGATATAAGTAAGTTCAGTTCTTATGTATGCTTCAATATATTATTTTGTGACCGATCCTGCCAATAAATATTGAGTAGTCGCCAGTAGATGTTTGTAGTTCAGGAATCGACATCTGAATGATGCACATTCTTTTCGATGCATATTTCCAACCACGCTAATGTCGCTTATTGTGAGTTTTTGTAGCTTGGACAGTGAAATGTCGTAAATTATTCATAAATGCACCTGAATAGGTTATCTGATTAATAGACATAATGATGTGTTAAAAAAAAAAAACAGATAACTTGTTGAAATATCTAGATGGCAGGAACAGGTAGCCCAGATATTCAAGCAGGCTGTCTATATAACTTGTTTGAATTACTATCTTTGAATTCAGATCTATAGAACTAACACGTTAACAATTCCGTCATAATGATAAAAAAAATGTTAGTTGTGGTTATATTTATGTTTTTTTTGTAGATAAAAAGTAGGCAGTTGTATAGATTTTGATGATAATTCAACACATGTTGTTTATGTAGGTATGGTAAACATTTTGATTAGTTAAGTCGATTAGTATTTTCTTTGAAATCATTAGAATTTTAATTAGGTCACATAACTACCAGATGTACATTGCCTCTATGTAAATAGTTCTCTTGGACAGTTATGTAATCCAGCCTCTGTAAATCGAATATTTTTAACATCTTTGATTGACTTCCTACATTAAAAGTGAAGACTGTAATTCTAGGTCTATATCTGTATGCATTTGATATCAGAGACCATTCACTCAAATTCGTTGTCATGGAAATGCTTCACAAATATGTCTTCATTGACTGTCAGAGGTGGTAAAAGGTTCAGAGATAGTAAGCTTTATGACATAGAATGAAGAATAGTTATATTAAGTTAGTAACTGTTAACTCACCACGGCTCCTTGGATGCTGTCATATAAATCACAAATCACTAGTGGTTTAAGTTATCAGGAATGTCTGCAAACAAGATTTAATGACTATTGTAGTGCGTTTTTTATGTTCTTCTTCAACAATATGATCTACATTTGAAAAGAATAAAATCCACTTTGGTTTTGATCTTATCTAATCATTCACATACAATTTAACGGAAATAAATATTAAAGATAAACTAACTTACTAAAGGTTATGGATTGGTTTATTGAATATTATTTACTACATAGATTACCGTATTTAATTCTAGTCTACAGATACTGAATGTATCCACGTTATCCAATAAATGATCGAATTCCTCAATAATTTTATTTTTTAATTTAGCGTTTACGCGATCTGTAAAACATGTTTATGTGATGTATGAATTGAATGACGTTATAAATGTGTTTGCCAACTCAATGGTCGAAAACAGTTAAGCACTTCCCTTGTGGCTTGAAAGTCTTGGGTTCGATCCCCGGTGGTTGATACTCACTACTGAAGAGTTGCATATTAGCATAAGATAGTTATCTAGTGATTCCTGGTTTCAATAATTGTCTAACTGAGATCAGTCCATGATGTTAAACTAAGTTTTGTCATCCTTCTTCATAAGACAAAATTTATGATAATTTCTTTTTTATAATTTCAGACAACATTCAAAGCATTCTAAACGTACATAAAAGTGGAAAAGTTGAGAAATCTCCACTACTAAACTCTTCTCAAAACATTTTAGAAAAAAATATATTGAACAGTTCTACTTATCACCTTATTTACATTGTCTTTCTATCCATATTTTCATGCATTTTAGAACGGATGATGTAAAATCAAGAGTTTCTTTTTATACATTTATCTTTGCTGGGAAACTCAAATTTTACTTTTTTCTAATTTTAATATTAAAGAGTTTTTTACCTTCATTTTGTTAGTTGTACATTGATATTTAACGGATTGCTGCTATGCTGATATTATTTTGGTTATCGTTCGATATTTTAACGGTTAAACATTGGAATAACTATAAGTAGTTTTGCATAAAGGATAACGAGGTGAGGGTTTATTATATCATTCAAGTTCATCTCTTATACAATCGGTACATATGTGCCTTTTAAAGAATATTATTTGCGAAGGTTTGCATTTTTCCATTGCTAATATTTACAGCAGATAGTGATCAGTCGTTGTATTGGCATATGTTCATCCTGATCGGATATTTTGAAAGTTCTATTTTGGCACGTTTGAAGTGTGGCTAGCAATCGAATCCAGGACACGCGTGTCGTTCTATCTGAAACTTGTTGGCTATAGGTATGTGATTGCATCTAGGTATTGATGTTCACAATGAGTATCTCAGTGAACACCAAAGTAGAGCCAGCACTCATCGAATATATTTACATTAACAGTTATTTAATTACTGTTAGACTAGATGTTTCAATCCGAGAGAAAAGGAGAGAAAAAGCTGACATAGAAAAAATGTCTCTTTGTAATAATATTTGTCTACTGTCCTATGGATTTTAACATTCATTTAGTAAAATTGATCTGTCAAAGAAATGGTGTTTTCGCAAAAACAAATTTTTCAGGTGTTGTGATGTTAGCTGAGTACTTAAATGGTCAAATCATGCTTCTATATTCAGTACAGTTGCTCAGATGACTAATAGGTACTTACTCAAATAAGATATGGGTGACCGTCTTCTGTAGCTTTATGCAGATCGCAACCTAGTTCCTTTCGGTATTCTTCAATGTAACCTTGAATGAGAATTGATCATGTAACGGTCAGCTACCGATGGTTTAAGTGTATTTAAGACAGTGTATCTGATGTTTTGGCGAGGATGATAATGATTGGTTATTTTCTTAGTCAGACTAGTAGACAGTATGACAGGTGCTGTATGAGTTTTATATCCTCTTATTCTTATTATTGCTGTTACTACTGTTGTCGGTCTGTGGTGTGGTTAACCACGTGTTCTTGGTCTGAGCTATGTTGAAGTCCTGTAGACTAGACACTGGAAGGGAATCTTATGTAGATATTCGTCGGAGGCAAATTAGCATCCCATTCGTGTAGACGAGGGAATAATAATACATATTCTGAAAATAATAATTACAGAATTCGCGCCAGTTTACAGGCGTGATCAAGTTGATATAAATAGTAACATTAAATGTAGAGAACAAACATGTGATAGAGATAGTTTTAGTATACTAGTTCAGTAATTGTTTAGGTAGTACATGTATTACAGCAATCCAATGCATCAGCCGGGAACTTTTATTTTTTCTTAAATGGACCACGTTTTGGTTTATAAAAGGTGTAATTAAGGTTATTTTGCTGTGCCAGATCGAATTAATGATAATTATCTACAACTCGAGATATTAAAACGAAAACAGAGAGCACGGAACAACACAGCAGTAATTACCAAAATATGTCAATCAGGTCTACCAAAATGCATGTGTCATGTGACACGGTATTAACATAAAGTGACAGAAAGTAGGTGGTTTTACTTAGGGAATGCACTAATAAAAATCCGACCGTTATAACTGTCTTCACTTAACGTGAAGCAGTTTTTGAGTGGTAATATTGTTCTCCAACAGAATGGAAATTTATCACATAAAATCCCTTAATCCTAGTATAAAGCTTTTCATCGCTTACAAACAGCATCACGTTACAGAATAATATGATTAGAAACAAAGGTTTCACATGGACTAGCTAGTAAAATGAAAACGAGTTTGAAAGTTAGCAGTATCTAAGGATGTTGTTATGATATAAATTATGAACTCTATGTTGCTTTAATAATGAACCACTAAGAACAATAATTCCAAACTCAACAAGGAAGATGAATAACACGAATATTCATTGTTGTGTTCCTTCCATTTCGGCATTTCCCCACTTCCTCTTGTGCATTTCTTCATACTACTTATTGAAGCTCAGTAACCCGTTTCATTTTTAGTTACTTTTGAGTCCGTCACACATGCTATCGTGTGTTAGAATTAGCCTTAATGTAATTATTGTAGGAAACCTTTTATCGTCCATAAATAACGATACGTTGACTGCAGTATATAAGTCACGAATTGAGGTTTATAACAACCCTACATACATTTTGCTAAAACAGAACCATATGGTTAATGATTATAATTCATACAACTAGTGACTGACTTCAAGAGATACTCCTGAAGTTCTAGTGGTAAGCGGTTACCAGTGGAGTTCAACCAGGTCTGTTGTGAGATATCAGCTCACTGAAGACAATGGTATAAGGTGGCGCAACTTCGGGGATTGGTTGAAGTTAGACAACACCATTGGATGCCGGCTCAGTGGTCTAATGGTTAAGTGCTCGCGCGCGGAACCAGTAGGTCCTGGGTTCGAGTCCCCGGGGTCGTGGGTGCGCGCTGCTGGGGAGTCCCATACTAGGACGGGACGGCCGTCCACTGCTTCCAGGTTTTCCATGGTGGTGTAGCTTCAACTGACTCATGATTTCAATCTGTGAAATTTCTAAAATCTCCACAAAGCCCTTCTGAAAATATCGATTAGTCGACAACATTATTTTGAGTACTACTACCTGAATAAAATCTGAAGATAATTTTGTCTTATTTACAAGTTTTTAACAACATAGATGCACCCACCGTGTTATGTTAAACGAATGTTTCATTCTAGGATGAGTATATATAACTGTTTATTAGTAGTCAGTTATGAACAAACAGAATATCTCTTAGTGTCCTCAAAATTTGAACATATTTATGAAATCATAAGTGGTTTGCGAAAAGCATTTTAAACTTGATTTTGTCATCGTAATTCATACTTAATATAATTGTATTTAACGGTTTTACTGGTACGAAGTAGAAAACACATCAAATGATATTCCCTATGCAATGGTTACTTAATTTTGTTCTCGAAACAACGTTGTCAGTAAACCTTTGAAAAAAAATGCTGATTTGTGTCTATAAACATGCTTGCATTAAAACGTAGTTGTATATTAAGTTATTTAATTTCCCGGAGCCAATAATAGAGTACTTTAATTAATCATACTTTTTGAATTATTGAAGCAATTATGTTTAAATTGAGTGCATAGACTACAATCATAACAACGATTCGGAAATCGATTCGATTATTTATTTGTCAAAAAATATAAATTTTCAGAGGCAATAATAAGAGAAATAGGCCCACTCGAAAACGAATACAATTATTATATATATGGACATGTATACATATATATGATCAATATTCGTCCAATGTGATATCACACAATTAATGCTTTAACAATAGTGATCTATACAGCAATGCGCATGTGCCGCTTCAATAGTTGATATGCAGCTGGTGTAAGTCTTTCCTGAAGATGATGTATTTGTAACTGCGTATTTCTGAACGTGCGCTTCCTACCATATCCAGTCCGAAGAAGCACAGTGAACATAGATCTCAACACGGGTGTTTTTCTATTGAGGTTGTACAGCTTCAAAATTCGATCAGTTGTCTCAACGAAGTTCGCATTGCTTTGTTCAAGAGGTGTTGCAGCGAGTCTAAAAGTATTTGATCACTTTTGTTTCTTAACAAATGTTCTCTCACATATCGTTAGAAAATCCCGTCTGATGTTTCAATAAATGAATGATAACTTTGGAAACTACAAAAGACTGTCATGCATAAAGGTTTTTATTTACTTTTCCATATTTCGAGTAAAAATCAGGTTGGAGAATAGCTGTACAATTTCGGAGCTCAGCCTCTACAATGACGGTTAACGGGTTAATGTCAATCAATGAATAACTTACCTTCTTTATGACATTACGAATAAGGTGTGCGCAACATAAAATGTGGTGAGAGTTTGGATACACTTGCGCTATAGTAGCAGATATCAGATCTATCGAAGCGTCTAGGTCACCCGACTTAGATACACGTGAAACCGAATTTCAAAAACAACGATTTGTCTACAATAGCGTTTCTTTATTGAATAATATACAAAATTTAGTTACAAACCTCAACTTGTGAGGTGTCTGGGGCGTTTAAACGCGTCCTTCAAATATGAAAATAAAAACGGCTTCCTGTAACAGTAACATAAAGAATAATTATAACATAAGATAGTAAAAAAGACAGCTGATAGCTGTGTCTATGTTTGACAACAGTCTATGAACAACCGAAACCCGAACCAAGAGCGAAACAATATGGAAACTGTTGCGTTGAAACAAATGCACGAAACTGTGGATAAATGCTGCAGTGATTAAGGTTCAGTAATTAAAATGATAAATACAATGATAGGTACAATAAACGTAATAAATATATGTGAGCATTTTAGAATGTTACACTACAACTTGCGTTACAACATAGGTGTAAAAATTGTTGGGAATACAACTGCTTACTGAATATAAATAAGTAGTATAAAACAATATACAAAAAGTGGAAGGGGAGCGAGTGGAACAATGTAAGACAAACTTAACAGATACATTGTATTCAAGAATATATTATGTGTTTACGTGGCAGCATGAGAAACGATAGAGCTTGTACTTTGTACGTTACTAACGTCCATAATTTAAAGGAAAGGTACTCTGTCGACAATTACTTGCATTTTATATCAATTTTGAGGAATAAATAACAAATTATAACGAATTTAAAACTAGCCATTTAATAGAACGAAATGGAAATGAAAAATGGGATGAAGAAAAAATTACAACACTATCGAAATTTATCAAAGGGGCTAATTACTTTAAATAAAAAAACCGCCGTGCT